CATTTGTTGTATTGATTTTTAGATTAATTTTGTTTTTTTTTATAAAACTGTTCATTTCATAAATTTGGAAAGCTCGTGTTATGAAAATACTAGTTGCAAAATAGAATGCATAAACTCTGTGGAAAGTAACCTTTAATTTGCCTGATTAAATCACGATTAATAACCGCTGCTGGTTATCACATTTCGATTGCTATTGAAATTGCACAAATATTGTGTTGAGCCAGTCCCACCGACATTTTCGGAATCTATCCAATACCAGTTGCCACAATTACTTCCCGCAAAAGCAGGTTAAACAATTTTGCGACTTAATTGCAGTTTTACAGTCACAGCAGCCTCTCAAACTGCAGGCGGCCCCATAAATGCGAATTTGTTGCACTATTAACAAGAATTTACTCGCTACGCAAGCTGCAAATTATCTAGTGCTGGCTTCTTTTCTGCTCCTGTATCTTGGAAGTTGGTCCTGCGGCAGGACTCGTCGTCCTTGGGTCGGCAGGTGGCGCGAGTGGAGTTGCCAGGACGGCCAGCAGGTGGCGCCAGTTACTTTTACTCGGTTTTAATAACGCTGCCGCCTTGATGATGTTAATAATGTTGCCGGGCGATTACCATTTACGGCGCTTGTTGTTGCCCCTGCCGCAGTTGCCATGGCTGCAGCTCCAGGACGTTGCCGCATTGTTAATGGAGATGTAGCTGCCAGCGGTGCCGCAAAGTGCGGCGAGTAATTGCAATTTGTTGCCCCTGCCGCAGCAATCTAAGTTGGATTCTCATTAGAGTGTTCTGGCAGATCTGCGATGCGTTGCCCAAACTGCCAGCTCCGACTGCTGGCGAATCCTTAATCGAAGTCCTGTCAATTGAAGACAGGACCGAGCGAAACCGCAATAAAGCGAAGCTCCAGCGATTTGCAAATTCAATTAGTTAATCCCCAAATGGGGGAATTCGAGCGCTGATAAGGGGATAAGGAGAAGCACGTAGCCACTGCAGGATGACTTGGCATGTGGCATGCGTCATGCACCAAGCACCGAGTACCATGCACTATGTACCATGCACTATGTACCATGCACCATGCACCATTCACCGTGCAGCATGCAGCATGAAGCATTGTAAAGGCAGCGTCTCTCCGACTATTGTTATATCGTATTTGAACAAACGCTGCCAAATGCAGCAGCCCGAATCGAAAATCGTTATAAAACATTCGCCAGCGACTTCGACTTCGACATCTTGTACTTCTTGCCATGCAAATGCCAGGCACGTTTGCTGACAAGGGGCGTGGCAGCGGGCCGGGACCGAAGCCAAAAAGGATGCGCCGGCTAAAGGTGCCACCGATGTTCGGTTCGATTGATGGTGGCAGCTCTCCGAATTCCGCCTCGAGGTGGAGTCGCTGGAGCGGATGTGCTGCGACAATATGCTGAAGCAGCGCTAATTTTTTCTTATTTTTTTGGCAGCTTACGTGTGGCCACGCCCACCGAAAAGCCAGGAAACACCATAAGACGAGCACCAAGCAAAAAGGACACACAATTTTTGCTTATTTCATTTTATTCATCACCAAAGAAATATTAAAAGGAAGTTTAAGAACTCACAGAGTTGCTTCATTTTTGAAATTATTTTTTATATTATAAACTCCTCTTCTTTATTATCAACTATAGCATATTTTTTTATGATTTCCATATGAAAACCACTGGATGCTTTTCTCTTTTAGTGGCATTATTTTATAATCTGGCTGAAGTGCATTAAAGTGTCATCGTATGGTTTTAAAAGAGTTCAGTGCTTAAAATAGCGCCTTGTTACCTTAATCCATTAATTTTAAGATGTGCAAAAGTTGGAACATGAAACAAGCTTCTGGGGCTGCAAAACTTTACAAGGCTATAAACAAATATTTATAGTTTATAGTTTAACTCAATATTTGTGGATACGTGAAGTGTACTTTGCCAATAATAAAGTGAATGCCATTACAAAGACTTCAAATTATGTTTTCTAAATGAAAAATATTCAATTTTGCTTGAACATAACTTGAGCAAAGATTTAAGCATGAAAACGCTGAAGCAAAGCTTTTATGAATTTTAGATTTTCTTCGGTGCACCATAACCATAAAGCAAACTTAAAGCAGCGAGTGTGTGAGCGGAAATAATAATCGTCAAATTAATACGCGTGGGGAATTTGTGAAGGCTCCTAAACGCTGCTTGGCAACCCTGGCCCGCCAAATCCCGAATACGTGCGAGCATTTAAAGCAAAAACAAATAAAACTTAAGTGCTGCATGTGTGAAAATGTTGTGGGTGGGTTGTTCGGCTGGGGGCTTTCTGGGTGTTTTGGGAATCGGATCCTGGCCACTCTCAGGTGTCTCGCCAGCCTCTGGTTAATCCGATCCCCGGCTGCTTAATCAGCTCCGGCTGGCTTGGCCAAGATAACCGGGCGAAACGAATCTTGAAATCTAGGGCAGCAGAGAATGGGAACTCAGATGGGTGGGGGACTCACATACATCACTCTCACTTGGCCCGAAAAGCGGTCGGGGCCATCAAATTTCAGTCATAACAATAACACTGATAGTCCCCCGCTCGTAAAATAAGACCCGGCCAACCCTTTTTTCTGGGGAGCTGGCCGGGATTTGTTGCTGTCCTCATGCGTTGTTGTTTCATATCCCCGGCTTGGAAAACAATCAAGAGAACGCGACACTAAAAACCACGCACGTTTTGGCCCTCATCCTCGGCCCGAGACACAGAAATTCGACAATGGCACTTGACGTTCCAGGGATTCGAAGGCAAAAGGGAAGGAGGGAGGGAGGGGGGTATGAAGGGGAGGTCAAAGGGCGACGCCTAGAGCATTTAAATCCTTTTCGCACTTTCGCCTGTCAGCCATCCAGCCAGGCAGCCATCCAGCCAGGCAGTCGTTGTTCGGCCTATTGCGCCGTTAGCTTGTTGCGTGTGAACTTCCCTTCCATTTCGACTATTTCCGGGGACCACACTGCGTATGACGTATGCAATGAAGAGGATTTCGGTGGAAGTGTCGCCGGAGTTGTTGGGGCGTCAAGCTTAATTTTCGGCCTCGTCGTTTTTAGTGGCGCATAAGGCCGTAAAATAGGAATTTGCTTTATTAAAATTTTTCGCTTGAAAAATATGAGACAGCGGCGAGCGATGAAAACAACCAAACAGCGAAAATACTGTGGGGGAAAATGGGGTGGTGGTGGAGCCAAGGACTTCTGGGGGTTCCTTGCTCGCACCAGAACGAGGTAAAAATTTACTCAACTATGAACTCCCCAAGCCAAACAAAACCAAGCCAAACCATGTGTGTGTGTGTGTGTGTGTGTGAGTTGTGCGTGCGGGGAAATAGGCAAAAATTTGCGACAGGCCGAAGGTTATGTTGATCCTTGTCTGCTGGGGCTGCTTGGCTTCGAGGATGGCTGCTTGGCTGTTCCTGGCATTCTGGCATCCTGGCAAGGGTTTGCCTTCCCCAGCTAGCTCTTGTCTGAATCTGACAGATGCCAGCCCCCCAAAAGGCCCCTCGTGTAACAACGAAATTTATATAAATTGCCCGTAATGCTGCTGGCTGTTCGACAACAACAACAACAGGAACATCAATCCAGGGGAAAGCGGGAAAGGGGGGAGGGATGGGCAAATTGTTGTTGATTCCCAGCTTGTTCCTTCCACATTCTTTTGCCAAACAAATTATGTACGAAAAAGGCAAAATAATGAAATCGTAAAGAGTTTGGCAACGAATGAGTTCCTAACCCGGCTGCTCTGTGATATTTTTCTTATTTAAAATTCATTTCTGTCCTCCCGCCTCCACCCACTCCAACCCGCCACCCACAAACTCAACCCATCCTATTCCATCCCATTCCATCCCATTCCATCTTGCCCCCTCCTAAATATCCCCCCTTGCAGACATCATGCGTATGCAAATTGCTGGCCATATTAATCATTGCCAGTTGGTAGCACCAGAGCTAAGTTTTATTTTATTTCCAGTTTTTCGCAACGAGAAGCGCCAGCGGGGGAAAATGGGAAAACGGTAGTGGGCTGCCCAGATTTAAAACTGCATTTCGTTGCTTATAAATAAACAGAGTCGCGCGGGCACAAGAAATACTCTCTGCTGGAAAATTTATGAAAGCGCGAATAAAATGCTCGTTTCACGGGACAGCTGTGGGCGGTGCGGGTGATTCGGGGCGGTGCAGAGAGGGGAAGAGTGGTGCGAAATGCTTTTTTCGGGCGGGTTTTAGGACACTAAAAACAAGTGCAGCTGCCTCGGCTGACGACCGTCGCGTTAAATGCTTTTGTTGATTTTAGATGCGCGACTGCCGCGGGAAAAGCCATCTCCCCCTGCACTTTTTGCACCGACCAACTGGCACAATTTAATAGTTTTCGGCGGCAAGAAATGAACTCCACAACTGCAGCAGTCTGCAATGTGTCTTGGCAAACAGACACGGAACACGGACATCGGACAACGGACAACGCGGACAACGGACAACGCGGACAACGGACAATGGACAACGGACACGGATACGGACCACACCCACAATTGGCTTTTGTGGCACGGCAAACGCGCTTTTTCGTTTGGGTCCGGGAAATGTGTTTGTTTTTCATTAAAAAAGAACGGAACGGAGCGGACCGAAGCGTTTCTGGCCAAGTTTTTGCGCAGTTCCTTTTTTAAGGCAGCTGGAAACGGTCAAAGTTCGGCCAAAGGGGCCCGAGGCTCCGGCGGGAAGAGCTTTGCGGAATGTCCTGTTTTATTGCGGTCGGGATTCGCTTTGAGTGGGTTTCGGGCCATGGGCACTGGGTACTGGGAACTGGGCAATGGAAACAGAGAACTGGCCACCGAGATGGCGGACTTTGAGTAAACACATATTTCATAATTCATCATACGGCGCTGCGATAGAAAGTCACGTTTTTAATAGAGGACCGGAATGGAAAGGACGCACAGACCGGAGACAACAAATGGCCGCGAGGACAATTAATTAAGTGCATCGCTAATGAATCACTCTTCATCTCTCTTTCTCTCTCTCTCTCTCCCGTTTTAGCTGTCATCATCCTGGCCAGCGGCCCCGCTCCCGGCCACGCCCAGCAGCAGAAGTTCCGGACCACGCCGCACGACTTGCAGGTCCTCGAAGGAGCCGAGGCCATGATGCGCTGCGAGGTGGCCAACGTGGCAGGAGCGGTCCAGTGGACCAAGGATGGCTTCGCCCTCGGCTTCTCCGCCGTGATTCCCGGTTACCCTCGATACTCGGTACTGGGTGACCGAAAGCAAGGAATCTACAACCTGCGCATCTCGAACGCCTCCATAAACGATGATGCGGACTACCAGTGCCAGGTGGGACCGGCCAGGCTCAACAGCGCCATTCGTGCCAACGCCAAGCTGACCGTCATATGTGAGTATCGAAGTCCTCCATAAATTAGATAACTTAGCTGTTACTAATTAGCTGTATCGAACCCAAAAAGGTTACTTGTGGAAATCATCTCTCAGTTTAAATTTAAACATACGTTCGTTTTGTTTTATACTTTTTACTGGCTGCAAAAACCCTTTTTATTTCCTTTTTTCCATTTTTCTTTGGCTAAAACATATTCCGAAATAACACATTTTCACAACATTTTTTAATATATGCAAATAAATTTTCTATTAAATTTTCTATTATCGAAAAAATCCTCAAATGTTTTTGTGGTATTGTAAAAAAAAACGAATTCTTTATTTGATTTTTATTTACGTTTTTAATCATACATATATATTTGGTATGGTGTGAAGCGTAAATATTTTATTTACGTTTTTAATTATATGCATAGGATTTGGTGTGCAACGTAAATAAACACAAAAAACACAAACTTCATCCATCAAATAAAGAGATCCCTCTTATGTTGATTGAAAGTTCATCATTATTTATCTTGCTAGATAGGTTGCATCAATTTTAATTTGAGTTAAGATCCTTTTGACTGCCATTAACTATTCAGCATGCATCCTAGTGTTTTCCTGTTCAGAACCCCTGAAGCTGCTCACTAGCGTAAAGTAGGAACCTGATCACAAAGTACCAAGCCAAGCACGACGCTCAAGGACACCCTTCGAAAGCCCCCAGTTTGCCACCCACTCAATTCAATTCACCCCTTTTGTCGGGTTCGCCTTTTTCTGGGGGCTGCAATTAATTTAAGTAATAAATACAAATGAATTTGTCACCAGGGGCGCCACATGCACACACACACACACACGTACACACGTACGGTGGCACAAATTCCTGCTGTTTCCCGCTCATTGCACCTATGGTATTCTACTAGTGAAATTTAAATGCGGGCTCCAGTTCTCCCAAAAGCTCCTCCCACTCACCCATTCGACATCCCCCTGGCTGCCAACATTTATTGTCAGCAATTTGCAAAACAACAGCAGCAACAACAAACGGCAAACAGGAGCTACAAACAGCATCACCGAGCTGAGCTGAATTTAGCGCAGTTTATTGCTCCAAGGAGCCAAGTTGGATGGGGGAAAACCAGGGAGAGGGAAAACCAGGGAAAATGTGACTGTATCTCGACTGCAGGCAAAGCGATGTGAAATGAATTCCTTTTTGTTTTAGCCTCTCGTTTTGACTCCTTTTCGGCTGTTGCATTGTCGTCTAGCAATCACTTTGAATGTTCTGCTGCTTCTGCTTCTACTGATGCTGCTGCTGCTGCTTTTGCTTTTGGCATTGCTGTTTCTGTAATTGTAATCACTCAAGGAATTGCGCTACATTTGATGACAGCGATTTTCATTTGGCTCGCCTCGCTTGGTCCTTCCGAGGAATTTTTCCGAGACATCAAGGGGCGCCATGGCTACCACTCTCCAAATATGTAGCATACATTCTTGGGCCAGCATACATTCAAGGCCCACGCACTCGCACACACTCACACACACTAACACACACTCACGCACTCGCACACACGCGCACCTAATGACGTTTGTTTAGTTAATTACGCGCCATGAGCTGTGACAATGCCGATGTGTGTGTGTCGAGTCCTTGAGTAGGAGAAAAAAAATTAAGAAAAAGTACGGAGACTTCAAGATACCCTCAAATATCTAAGGAAACTTTCTTGGGAGCATTATACATCTTAAATGAGTTCGACAAAAAATGTCAATAAATATGCAATAAAAGATGCAACTTTTTATTTTCAAAAACAAAGAAAATATTTAGATTTCTATTATACTTTTTCAATATATTTAATAGGGACAAAGGAAAGAAATCTTCCACTTAGAAGATGGATTCCATATAAATAGGTATTAATTAGTTTAAAGTAAATATATTTATTTGCCTTCTTGAAATTCCATAGTTCCAACATACCCCTTAGTTATACGAATACCTTGTAAAAATAAAATAAAATAAGCAAAAGCCAAGCATAGTTGGCGATGCTGAAGGAGAAGGTGGATTCTGGGGCGAGCTTGTTAGTGACTGCGAGTTGTTGTTGGATCGGCAAAAGGTCGCTATCCACATGGCATGTTTGTCATAATTGTGGATACTTGTGTGAGTCCTGCCCTCCTCGCCACCCACTTACACACTTAGCCCCCCCCTCCCATTCCTCGCATCCCCCACCTTTGTTCTGTAATGGAATCTTCGTCTTGGCTTTCACAGCAAATGACATGTGTCTGTGTCCCCAGTCCAAGGTATTCGGGCATTCCAGTCGGCGTAGGTGTGTGCGTGTGTGGCAGGGAGGCACGTGCTACATTATTGCTGCAATTAGCCCAAGGGAAATGCGGACAAATGCCTAATAATTCAATTAAGTTCGAATTACATTTATTTGATTTATTCCTAAAGGTGACTCCCCGCTATTTATCTGCTGTTTGCATAAACATTGATGTTATTTGTTTAAGGGTATTCGCATAAACGAAATAAATTAAACAATAAGAATATTAATCTTTGAAAAATAACAATAATAAACATACTCTCGATAGAAAAGTCCAGCAGGGAAACAAAACAAATAAACAACAAAATATAGATGCAGGCTGTGTATATAAACTATATATATATTTTCAAACTTTAAAATGCAAAAGAAACTATAAATTAGTTAATTTATCATTTCTTTGGGGTAAACTATTTTATAAAGGATATATATTCACGTACACTTTTTCCCGCGAGATTCTCAGAATGCTATCTCTACTCGTAAGATACGATTTAATTAAAACTTTCCTCAGATAGTTTATTAAAAATTAATAGCACTCACCTTTGTCCTGCCCAAATTAAATTTTCAGACTCCCCTTGCAAAGTTTCTGCAGCAATTTGGTTGTAACGCTGGCCGTGCTTATGTTAAAGTTCCAAAAAATTATTCCGCACTCCCACTACATACACATGTACACACATATATACTGCATATATAGCATATATATATATATATGGGCAAAAATAAACGTGAGGGTGCAATTAGATTATAAGTTTGGCAAATCAAAGAACTTTCGCACACAAAAGTCCACGTGCAAATTTATGGAAATTCCCACAAAATTTTCGCATGCCATTAATTTGGAACACAGGAAAAGAATAGAACAAAAAAAAAATATATAATGGAGCCAAAAACACATATGCCGCAAGGCAGCTGCAGGTTCCGTGTCCATGGCCATGTCGAGGTCCGAATCCTGGAGAGAAAACTTTTTGCCGCTCGGCGGACAATGGCAAGCTGCAAATGGAAATGGAAATGAAACGGAGGCACTTGCCACTGCAGCCTGCCACTTTGGGGCATTTATACATTTCTGAGTACAATGCAGCCCGAATTTAAGTTGGATTTCCTGCCCGGCCAATAGACGCACTTCATTGATTTTCAAATGTCCGCACATTTTTCAGGGGCCCACCCACTTTGCCACCCGCCCTTTGTAATTGAAGTGCAAATGAGGAAAGTTTTCATCCGCCGGCATTCCCGGAAAATATCGCCCAACATTTGTTATGTGAGGCTGACCTTAAAGTCGGTCCACAACGCCTTGGGTGTGACTTCGGGTGTGACTTGGCCCAGTGGCTCAACTTACATCACAGCCAGCCAGCCATCCAGCCATCCAGCCATCCAGCCATCCAGCCAGCCCGTCAGCCAGCTCCCTTGGCCAAAAAGAACAAAAAATTGCCAATTCTTGCCTTCGCCTTGGATTCAGATTGGGATGCAGTGTGGGCGGATGGCTTGGCGGGTGTTGGGTGCTGGGTAGTGGAAAAGGGCTGGAAAGTATTCCGGCGCATAAAACTTTTATGAGGCGTACTATTAGTGGGTTAACCGGGGTGTCGCTGCCCGAGGTGCCAGGGAAAGCTGGGGGAAAAAGCCGAGTGGTCCAGTGTTCATGGCAAATTGCACTTTGTATACTCGCTCGCCAGGAATCCGGCAACTGGAGCTGGTTGGAGCTCAAGCTCTGCCGCTGCCAGTGCCGTTATTGCAGCCATTGTTGCATAAATTATTTGATGCCAGCCAACGGAACACTCAAAGAAGCGCGCTGCACCACCCCCGACCACCCACTCGAAGTCCACCCACGCCCCTTCCAGCCCCACTGTCAGGCGGAGCGCGGCTTATGCATAAAATTTAATCAACATTCAACCTTAACCGAGGCAGCACTTTTTGCCGAAATTTCACCTGATGGGGCCCGAAACTAAACCAGGACACACTAGATAAGCCTTAACTTATTAACTGCAGATTGCTCTCTGCATTTTTTCATAAACTTGGTTCTTAGTGTACCCTCCGTGTCACGATCCAAAATGATTTTACCTTAATTTACCCCCTTACAATTTACAAACATACTATCAAAATAAAGTAAACCAAACAACATAAATGTAGTCGCTCGGGAATAAATTAAAACATGATTTTTAAATGTGGCAAATACAAAATCATTTCCCATTTTGTTGTTATGTATTTCTAAAAACCTTTCTTCTTGATGTATTATTAACTGAAACATATTTTTTGTAGAGAAGTTTTTTATGACTTGTACAAGATTTATTTTCTCAGTTATTTAATAGATTTTCAACAAAACAAGTCTCATTCGATTCCATTCCCACTGAATTTACACCCATGTTAAGCTGCCTTTGTTGGAACAGTGAGCCCTCTCATTGTTCCCCTTGAAATGGCTTCAACTGCTCGTTTGTCAATAATCAAATACAATATGCATACCAATCAACAATGCACATACCCCACGTTCCGATCCACACGCACACATGTGCCAGTGTCTATATAGATATAGATATATCTGATATATCTGCGCAGGATGGCAGGCCACGCTTTGGCATAAATCGAGTTGCATTTGCGAGGACTCGGCGCAAGAAAAATCATAAAATGTGCATATATTTTTTGAGTTTTAACTATGCAGCACGCGCTCACTGCCACACAACCCCTCTCCCCCTCCCGCTCCCCCTCCCCCTCCCGCTCCCCCCTTCCCCTCCCCCTTCCTGGCTGCTCCACGGTGTGCCAAATATTATAAATTTTCAATGCACGTACCGCCCCCGCAAGCCCCCCGCGAAAGTCCAGGGACAAAATGTACAGCCAGCGGTGGCACGGCGACACCAATTTCGGCACACAAAGCCTTTAGTCAAGGTTGCAGCAGGGTGCTGGCTGCCAGCTGCTGGTTGCAGGATGATCTCGGCTTGCCATTGGCGTCTCCTCGGGCAGAAGGATTCCGCGCGGCATAACAAGCAACGCATCCGCGGCCTTGGGAAAGTAAATCGAAAATTTGCCAGTCCACGGCGTATTCTTTTACAGCCAAAGGACGGAGAGTTAATTAAAGAATAATGCAAAGGAGGACCTCTGCTGAAAGACGGGCTTTAAAAAGTGCAACCTGAAAAGAAATTCACTTTAAATGTGGCAAAAATATAATATATTAGTTTGCAAATAAGGTATGCCATTTAATTGTTTTTCCCTGAACAAATATGCAACCATTTTTGACCTTTACTTTTGTGATTGAAAAAGGCTTTTTAAATAAGCCCTAGAGGTTTTGCAAACTGAAAAATGAAATGGGTAGCCAGAAGGCGAATCGAATCAATCAATTAACAAACAGTACCTCGAAAACAAGTCTTTATTTTTCCTCTTAAACAAATTGACGACACTCGTTTGAATAGCAAAGAAAAAATGTACATTAAAGTCATCGCACCTCGGGGTGTGTTTCTTAATAAACCGGAAAATCATCAGCTTTTATGGCTCAATGCCGCCGATGAAAGGAGGAATATTATGCGAGTGGAGGCTGCTGATTTCGAAATCAGATTCATCTATTTGATTTGCTGCATAATAATTTGCGCGGCTGGCGGCGATGGTGAACTAAACTTAATCAAAAGAAAAGGGACACGGCGCTTCTGGTGTTGATTTCATTTGTGTCGCAACAAAAGCAATTACCTCTACGCAGAAAGATGTGGCAGACAAGGCTCAAGCGATCCCACTCCCACCCAGAAAATCCCCTCCTCGAAACCAAGGGACTCCATGTGCGACATTAAGCATTCATTTTGCATGCAACAACTTCTGGAGCAGTTCGCGCAGCAGACGGCGACATATGTTGCATGTCAAATGCAGGACTCGCTAAGCCAACTCCTACTTGTTCCACTTGGGCGGGAGTATAGTAGGTTCCTCCTCCTCCTCTTCCCCCCTGACTCCTCCTTTTTCCACTCGGTGCAATGGCAATGGCAGCCAAACTCCTTCAGGTGGCATTAAAATAATGCACACGTGCACTTAACTTTATCCACGTTCCTCGTTGTTTGTTTCGCTGCACGCTCGTACTTTCGTTGGTTGGGTTTCGTCTGTTTGTTTCAGCATCTGCTGCACTCATGCACCACCCAGGCCGACATGCACCACCCAACACCCAACGCCCAACGGGCACCGCCCACCCACTCGGCACCACCCGGCGTCACTCAGTCATTGTTTTGCCGGTGGCTCGTGTATATTTCAACAGTTTGCCAAGGCATGTCGGCCCAGGCATGCCCCACATGCTCCACCCCCTCACCCCCCTCCCCCTATCCCTTCTTTTTATTCCTCTTGAGCGCAAATATTGAAACTCATATTTGAGCACATTAACGAGGGAACTGCCTGCACAGCGAAAAAAACAATGCTGTTAAATTGTAAAGCCGAATCTCAAATTCTGTTGAAGGCAATACGAATTCTAATTTATAGGTAAATAAATTCGGTTAAGATCGATATGAACAGCTATAAAATGTAGTTCTGAAATTTTAAATAAATGAAAAGGTCAAATTTTCTTTTAAATATATATAAACTTACTTATTTCTGCAGTACCGCACTCCCACTAAATGTAGAACCTAAATCTATTTATTATTTATCTATTTATAGTATTTGAAGCCTTGAATATTTTATAATGTTGATAATAAAATAAAAATCATAAAAACAGTTGAAAAACCTAATAAATTCAAGTATAAACATATAAGGTATGACAATTTTGCGAGTGGACCAGCAGATGTGGCTGTTGAAGTGGGTGGTTAACAAGGGCGGAATGCTGCGTTCTTGGCGCGTTCTTCCCGGTTTCCCGCACCACCCATCCACCACTCCATCCAGCTCCCCAATTGTGACTGCTGGTGTTTCTGTTTCTGCATCGGCGGCCATTCAACCTGGGCCTTCAACAACAATGTCGTCTGTCGCTGTCGCTGTCGCTGCATACACACAATGCATTAGGCAGAGGCACGCCCACTGCGCCCACGAAACGTCCTGTAATGCCATTGTTGCCCCATAATGAGCAAGGATTCCCTGGCAGCCATTAGCTTTTGTTTCGAGCCCCCTCTATCCCCTCCACCCCCCTGAACTTCCTTTGTACCCCGTTCTCTAATCGGTTCTCCGACTGTTTCTCCTTGCAGCTCCGCCAGCCTCGATCGAGATCAAAGGTTACAGCCACAATTCCAAGGTGGAGGTGCGCGAGAACCAGGACCTGCAGCTCAAGTGCATCGTGGCCAATGCTAAGCCGGCGGCTCAAATCGTCTGGTACCGCGGCAACGTCGAGTACAAACCAGGTTAGTAGCAACTGAGTCGTTAAATTTAATGATTGAAGCCGCCGCTAAAGTAGCTTTTATCACGCACCTGTCACTAAGTAACCGCTGGTCCGCTTCAGCATTACTTTTTACGCGCTTAAAAAAGTAGCAAGGAATAACTAAGAGGAGAAAACATTTTTATGCCCCTTTTCTTTATATAAATTCACAGTTTTAATGGTGACGTAATGAAGCTTTGAATTTATATAGAATAAATTTGCATTACCTGACTAAAATTAAGAACAACAAAGTCACTTTGGAATTTAAATAAATGGTACTGTACATAAGTACAAATTTCATGTTGTTGATTTTAACTCTGCAATCAGGTTGATAAACAACTAAATATTACGCTTTGACTCGTTAAGAAATAACAATCAACAATCCAAGAAACACGTAAGAATATATATAACACACTAAGCAAAGGTAATAAAAGAAACTAATAATGTTTTATAACAGAACCTTACCCATATTCCGAGATGAGCTATCCCAGCGATATTAAACTGCCTAAAACAACATAGGTTATGCGAACATAACAATATACATTTTCTTTTAGAAGGCATTATGCAGAATACAAAAAGTGTAAATGGGTTTTGGCCAGGCCCTTTTTAGCCGGGATAAGTGCGGCTGCGGATGCGGATGAGCAGGCCGGACTGGAGAACGAGATGGGGACGAAGGGCAGTGCAGATGGAGATGGGCAAAGTGACGCCTGTCAACCGTTTGGCCATCGCACATGTGAGATGATGGAATGGGAAGGGGAAGGAGGGAAGGACAGAGTCCGCAGGATGCGAGGGACTCTGACAGGATGCGGGGGTGTAGGGGAAATGAACGTCGACTTTCGGCCTGATGACGGTGCTTAAATAATAATTTTATACTCCAACAAAGCGCCGACTGTCGATGTTCGGCCCTTATCTGCCCTGTGGTCCGCTGTTCTGTCCTCTCCTGTCCAGAGTCCTGGCTGCAGGATCCAGGATCCAGTGTTTTGTGCCTTGTCATTTAGCCGCTGCTGCTGCTGGGCAGTCAGCAAATTGGAAAACAGAGCTGCTGGAAAATATGGAAAAATGCAAATGTCAATGGGGAAATGGGGTCGTGGGTTCCGTGGGCGAGCAGCCCATCACACGGCGCTTAGCCGCCTTCACGACTTTTAATTTTCATAATGATTATGGCCCCTGCAACCGTACATGGGTTGGTTGCTTGGTTGCCCCTTTTTTTTGGGTGGCGGATTTTCCGCTCCTTTCCCGCCATTTGGCCAGTAACGAAATCATTTTAGCACAACTGGCGCGTTAAAAATGCTTAAAATGTGAAACGCACGGCGACAGCGACGATGATGATGATGGAAATTTTTCGGGTAAACATATAAAAAAACAACAAGGAAAACAAAAAGAACAACGAAAACAACAACGCAGACCAGGAAGAGGAAAGAAAATTCGCAAAGCGGCGTTAAAATGTAGGAAAATCCGCAAGGAAATGTGGACAGCGGAAGGAAGCTGCATGATGAATTATGTTTATGACGCAATATGTTGCGGCAGCAACTCCGGCCGGACCCCGAACCCGATTCCACCCTCACATCCGCATCCGCATCCGCAGCCGTAGATCCTGGGGTCCAGTTCGGTCTGGGGTCTTGTATCATTTGCAAGCTGTCAGGGGCGTGTGTGTTTGTGCGGTGGGTACGCGTAAATGGCGGTTAATGTGGGCAGACGGCCATCTTGGTGATTACCCCCAAAGCAGAATGGTGGTTCGTCGGTGGTGCTCCACCACCACCCCCACGATAGTTGGGCGGCTGGGGCACATTTTTTAGGCCACACTTTGCGGCGCAGATGAGGCTCGTTCAAAATTTATAACTGAAAATGATGTCACAAAATGCTCTTGCTGGTGCGGAATTGATGGGAGTTGAGAAATACTTATCTCCATTTCGCCAGGCTGTAAACTTTGGGACTGTCTTGTCGAATGCAGTAAATACCAATCGATTTGGCTGGTTTTTGCAAATAAAATATTTATTCCAAGGCATACGATATTAATACAGAAAGTTTTTTATAATCAACTTAATTTTCAAGGATACGGAAATTTCCACAATTGATTTTCGAAGTTGAAAACAAAATTAATAAACCTTGAAATGGAACCATAAAATTTAATTTGGTATAAAACAAAAAAAAAAAATATGTCGTATATTTGAGTAAGTTGTTTAGAGAGCTCTACATTCAAAGAACAAAATAGCAATACTTAAGATTTTAAAATACATATAAAAAGCATCACAGCAATTTAAAATACTTTCAAGTTTATTTAACTAGATATAATTCACATCAGTTTTGACAAACATTTTAAGCTTTAAGCAAACACCTGTTAATTACGGCATATTGTTGCTTTCCCCGCAGAAAAACGCGAGGACGTCGTGGAGGAGTCCACTGCCAAAAGGTTCACCACCACCTCGAGTCTGAAGTTGAAGCCAGGACCCGATGACGACTACACGGAGTACACGTGCCAGGCGAAGCACAAGGCCCTTTCGCCGGACATGCCCATGCGGGCCACCGTTCAACTGTCCGTGTTGTGTGAGTAGCTTCTCAGCCTTCTCCTCCCCCCTCGCCATCTGTTTTTCGGGAAGCTCCGAGTTTTTCGGGGTCCTTCCCCACGGTCCGAAAATCCGGCAATCGGAGGGGTCACGCGGGTGACCTCATTAGCCGGCTCAATTTGCTATACAATTGAACGTATCTGCATGTGGTGTGAGTGTATGCATGTGTGTGCGCGTATGTAAGTGTGTGTGTGTGTGGGGAAGTCCCCAAAGAAGAACAGGCTGCCACATCTGAAGGCACTTCAAAAAATCACAAATCACTTTGCTACTTAGAGAACAGTATAGTTCCTAAAGCACCTTTTTAAATTAAAATAAAATAGCTTTAGAAATATAATATCTGTTAAAAAAAAAAAACAGTTAAACTAAAACCAAACCTCCTGAAGCATTTTCCATGAAGAACAATTTTAATATTTTTAACATTATAGAGATTTTAGAATATTTCGATATTAGTTTGTATTCAGTTCAATTAATGTGGGTTCTCTTGACTTTTTATTGGCTTCTAAATTAACACCAACATATTTGCAATAAAAAGGCATTTAAAATCGCTTTTACATAAATCAACGTTATGCAGATTTTAGAGCAATGACCAATTTATTTTTTCTTGCAGTGCTGGCAGTGAATTTTTTGCGGCAGTATCCGTTGGCCTGGCCCAATGCGGATGCCATTTGCCATCACGGCCGCTAATTGCGCGATTCGGGCGCGTATTAATTAGTTTTTAAATTCTAATGTGCCGCGCAGCTGCCACTGCCAATGTGAATGTGAATGGTAGATGGTAGATGCTGGATGCGAAATGCGAAACGCAAAATGCGAATTGAGAATTGAGAATTGCGATGCTGCACGGGAGCGCGAGCCATTACGAATGCCAAAAGTCCTCTTAATGCTTGTTGCCGTCGGCAGTGGTGGCACTGGTGGTGCCGCTGGTTGCCTCCAGGCACCTGAAAAATCCATGGGCACATCCGCCATACGATGGCAATGGCAACTGCTCCACCTGCACGCACATTCAAATTAATTATGTTTGTTATTTATGCATAGGCAGCTGGCAAATGGCGGCCCCAACTGCCACAGTTCGTTGGCCATTTCCAACGAGCCCGTTGCGATGTAATTGGCAAAAAAAAAATATTCGAGTTGCGAGTTGCGCTATCTACGAGTTCAGGGAGCGGAGAGGGGGGTCGGATGGGGGAATGGGAACGGGATTTATCCCCTTTCATTTTCCCTTCCTGCGGTGGCTTAATTATGGCGCTATTATTGCATCCTCACTGCCTCATCTCGAATCTGCTCGTACAATATTTCAAGTGATTTTAATTTAATTTTTCGTTGCATGCCTGCAGGGGTTTTCCATGTGCATTACGTGTCTGTGTGTGCATGCATGTGTGTGTAGAGTGTGTGTGTGCGTAAGGTGTGTGTGTGCTTGGCAGCTTTTATGGCTCACCTGATTGCTGCTGTTGATTCAATACGGTTGACCGCTTGTCAAATTGCGATAAAGAAAACATATTACTGGCCCAAAGCTGCTGGATAAGAGTTAATGTTTTGCCAAAGCTTCCCCATGGAGTATCGATGGCCTGTTCGTCTGTTTTTGTCCCTTTTCTAGTTGCCACCAATTATATTTCATCCGCCAATAATTCCGAAATGTGTTTAACACGAAATGTCGCTGCTTTTTCCACTGCTTTGTGGCATTTTACACTATTATTAATCGCCCAGAGCAACGCCCAAAACAAGCGAAATTACCAACGCCGCCAATTGTGGGCGGAAAAAAAGTCGAAATCGGAAAATAATGCATATGACCGCATAAACGATTTGCATGCAAACACTTCAATTAAAAACTGTTCGAATTTAGCTGCATTTGCACACATATGCGCTCCCCGCACTTTACTGTAGTGTAAATTGAATTTATTTGCGGACAGCAGTTGCAATTAAATATGCCAACTGTAAACACAACAAACTGCCGGCATTCAGTTCACTTTTTCAAACCTGGCTTTTCCCCTTCCCATTTTCTAATCCCGCAGATCCGCCGGGTCCGCCATATATCGAGGGCTATTCGCCGGGGGAAACTCTTCGTCGTGGCCAAACTGTGGAGCTCATGTGCCGGAGTCGCGGCGGCAATCCGCCTGCCCAGCTCATCTGGTACAAGAACGGATCCCAGATACGAATGGCCTACAGGTAAGATATATCAATTTTTAATTTTGAGTATAATTTAAGTAGTAGTAGTTTTAAATCCACAAGCTCAGTAGCGAACTTAAGAAATTAAAGCACAATCAGTTCACTTACTTAATTTATTTTGAGTTTTAATGATTTATTAAATAATTTCCTTAATATATAAATCTTCTTTGTTATTGAATTACTTATTTAAAAGAGCTTTAAAAACCTAAGGCATTCTTAGTTATAATTTCAGCTAATTAATTTCACATGTCTCATTTTTTTCCAATTATTAAACAATTAGTTGCCAAAGTTGTTTAAACGTGATGATACGTTTTATTTTTCTGATTAGTTTTATTCAGTTTTTTATAAAAACATAAATGCAGTCAAATCTAGCATTTAAAAATATTTTGATTTTATTATTTAGTTTTTAATGGACTTAATAGTCGCATGTTAATAACATTACTTGTAGATAGCTAAGATATAAAATTAATGTTGTTTAGTCTCGTGAATTTGATTTCCTAAATCAGTTTTTGCTGGACAAGGGTACTTCTCAAATTTCTAGCAAATGGGCTTAATGTGCTATGGATTTTTTCACAGGACCGCTGGCCGACTGTCCGAGAACATCTACACCTTTACCGCCGAGGCGGGGGACAACAAGGCGCGCTTTCGCTGCGAGGCGAGCAACGTGATGTCGCAGAATCCGCTGAAGGCGGAAGTGGAGCTCTCTGTGCTGTGTAAGTCGAGCTCCGAATGAATCATCGAGGCTCCAGATTCGAGATTCGAGACTGAGTCTCCAATTTGCGCCGCTTAATTGTGCGTTGTTCATATTTATGTATGCAGCCCGTTCTGAGTAGCATATCAGGTTCAATGGCTGCCTAGATTACAGACAGAAATGCGGGAGGGGGAATCGGAAAGTTAAGAGCGGGAACTCGGTGATGTGGGGATTGGATTGTGTCAACAGCCTGGCTTGGCTGCGATATATACTCCGAAATCCAGAGAGCCAGCAGCTCTTGGCAGGCGACTTGCACACAGATGTTGAGGGATTGAAGCCCCGGGATGGAGTCTCCCCGAAATAAGCCTGGCAACTCGGTGGCTCGGCTGGCTGGCTGGCTGTTGCTTTCTTTTGCAATTAAGCTTAAGTTTGCACTTTGAAAGCCTCTCCAGTCTTCGTCCCACTTGGCTTTGTCAAATCAAGCAATGCAAATTCTTTTCAAGTGCCAAATAGCGCAGGGCTCCTTCCCCATCCCCTCATTCCACCAAACTCATCTCCATTCTCTGCAGCTTGTTAGAGTTACAACAATTGCAATCAGGCACACAAAGCCGACGGGCGGAGCGACGCGGTAGCAAAGTCGTTAGCGACACTTGGACGAACGGACCAGCAAACATTTGCATGCCACATCCCCCATCCTGCAATCCTCAATCCACCGCTACTTACCATCACGTGTCTCGCCTCACATGCAAATGGATGAGGCGGTCGCCAACGCGGCGTATGCGCGATATTTAAATTCAAGTGCCCGACAGTCCGCTGAAATTGGCATCTTTACCTGAAGCGGGCTTTAAGTGCGTGAAGGCCTCGTGCTCCGCGTCGTCGCTAAGGCAGAAACTCGTTTAGCTGGCAGCTCGCAGTTTATGCGCATACCAATCAAAGTGCCATTGCCATACAGGTCAGGCCTGCCCACTCCAACCCACTCCCAGTACCGCCCACTCCGACTCCCTCGGAACACTCGGTCCCATCTTGCCCCAATAAGTATGCCACATTGAGTGGCCAGCACAAACGAATACAAGAACAGTCGCGAGCTACCACTGCACTTGAAAAAATGTGAGGTAACTCTGGTAATAAGAAGTGCAGAAAGTCTTTAAAGATTACAGAGTTATTCGTTACAGTTTAGCTTTCCCATTTCATTTATCTCATTATAAATTTATTTATTTATATCCGAATTGTTTAAGAACTCATCGGAAAATAGGGTTGCTTTATTAAATTATTGAGGATTTCAAAAACAATTCAGAATATACATATTTATAAGCTAACTGGGAATACTATGTAGTATGTTGTACGAGAATTGAAGATAGTTCGGCTTAGTGTATCGGATAGATAGCAGATGTGGCCTCAGCTGGCGGAGCGGGCTCTTAGCACACGCATTATTTATGTATAACGAATGTGGAACAACAAAACTGAAGACGTAGCAGGAATACAGTCGGCATCAGCATTCTTTTGCCCCGCACGAATCCTCCACAAGGAGTGGGTGTGAGTGTGTGTGCCCGGAATGAAGATGTATGGCCAAGACGGACCGACGAAAGATGCGAGAAGTTAAGAATTCATAATGTTTATTTATATGCGAAACATATCGAGTCGAAAGTTTCGTATTCCCCGCGTGCCTAGTCCCTGCCCAAAACACAAACTTAAACACAAACTCAAACCCAAACCGAAAACCAACCCGAAGACAACGCTGCGTATGCGTAATGTATGCACTTATCCATCAAAGGAGCGGCAGCTGCAGCTGCTCCTGCTCCTGCTCTTGCCACTGCCACTGCTGCTCCGCTTCGATGGCATTAGGTAATAGCTCCGCAGACGGACGGACTGTCAGTCACTCAGTCATCATTTGCATGGAGGCGGCATCAGGAGCCGACACACACACAGCTATGCCTCCCCCGAGCTATTAGGGAATAGGGATCGGGGGTAAGGGGAACTTCGTAATCGGGCTGACGGATAGGAGACACCGCTCGAGTGTGGCTGCCAGGAGCTGGCTTGCCGCAAGCGAGCTCGCCACATGCCTATTATATATTAATGCCTCCTTCATTATGCGGCCGCGGGAGCCAGTAACTGAAATCAGCCCACAAAACCTTCACCTTCTCCTCCTCGTTCTCCATTATTCCCCAGTTGCACCCACCCACGTCACCGTTATGGGACCCACCGAGGCGCGAGTCGGCGATATCGTGCCGCTGACGTGCACCACCGCACCATCGAATCCGCCCGCCGAAATCAAGTGGATGGTGGGTGGCCGCCAGGTGCGCAACGCCACCTCAAAGACGATTGTCAGTCCTGAAGGTAAGTGCTCCATGTGACACGGAGTGTCCTCCCTCCTCCTACCTCCCACCTCCACCTGTGACTAATCCATTTCCATCTCTGTCTGTCATCGCAGGCGGTTGGACGACCACCTCGAACATCACCGCCACAGTGGAGCCGAACAAGCGCTCGCTGGTCGCCATCTGCCACGGACTCAACATGCAGCTGACCGAGAACGTGGTCTCCACCCACACGATCAACGTGCTGTGTAAGTAGTACTGGGGAAAGCTGGGAATTAAATATTTATCTGGATTCTCGGAACAACAATGCCCAACGCCCAAAGCCAAGCAGGGGAAATCGTTATGAATTGAGTAAGGGATAGAAATGCCACATTCTGCAGGGTTTTATTTATTTATTTGGGAGAAGTATAATCAACATGTTTTTATTCGACAAAAATAGCGTTTTCCATAGGGTCGATTTACCTTTCTTTCAGTTGATATAAAAACGAGTACTCTATTATTATTATTGATTGAATGCACATGTAGTACTTTTTACCCTGGCTTAAAGAAATTCTTTTAGAAAAATACTTCTTTAATTAAACGTAAACATATTATGGTAAGAAAAATAGAAAGCAGTAAACATTTTAAGGATTATTGTAGTGAAATTCTTCCGATTAGGAATGTATTATATGTTTTATATAAACATAAAGAATTACTTCGCATTAGCCTTTGCTGTTATGTTGCTGAAGAAAACATTCAGCTGGCTTTGAATATATGATAAAGTAAGCCTTCAAAAACCGATCTTAGTTAAGTTTTATTCGCCCTACATTTCGGTGACAAATTCTCGATATAGCTGCTAGTTTTATTTCTTGATATTAATATTCTCGACAATGGCTGAGTTTCCGCTCTGCGTGTCCTGTTCGGAGAGGGAGTTGGCCCGCTTGACGGCGGAGGAGCTGTCGATCTCCATTCGGAAGGATAGTAAGCTGAAGAAGCCGGTCAGGGCGAAGCCCAAGACGGTGATCGGAGGTCCGCTGATGGCGAACCGCATGAAGATGTGGCGCCAGCACCGCGAGCGGGTGAAGGAGGCGATCAGCAAGGTGGACGCCGAGGCTCCAGCTTTCCAGGCGGCCCGGATCACCGGGGTGAACAATCTGCGGGACGAGGCGCAGGTGTTTATGAGGCGCACCAAGGCGAACATCCAGCTGCTGGTGGAGATCTCGCGGACGATGCGCACCCACGGAGCCATCAATCCGTTTCGCTACGAGGTGGTGCACGCCGTCTCCTCCATTCCCATCGCTTTGCTCGGATTGGAGCGACTGGAGCGGGATAACCGCGACTTCGGAAAGCGCATCATGGAGGTGCACAGCGAGGTGGACTCCGGACTGTCGGACAAGCGGATGCTGGAGGGCAGGAGTTCGGCTCCCTCGGCTCCGCTGGAGTTGCCTCCCCAGGCGATGGCCAAGTACGAGGCGTTCAACATCCCGCTTCCCGAATCCGATGCAGAGTTGCGGCGCCTCTTTAGACCGCGAGTCTACTTCGACATCTATCTGAAGGATGCACGTCCGCTGGGAAGGATTGTGGTGCAGCTGTACACGGAGGCAGCTCCGCTTGTGGTCCTGCAGCTGATCAAGTCCTGCATGTGCAACCAGCACTCCAAGTTCCTGGTGAAGCGACTCTTTCCGAATCTCTGGCTGGAGACGGATCTGCTGCTGGCCGCAGAATCGCCGCTGAAGCAGCCATTGGAATACGATGCCAAGGTGATCGACCACGGGGCATCCAGCTACGTGTTGTCCTTCAGCAAGGCTTACGTCAAAGGATTCACCGACCACCTGTCCTTTGCCATCTCGTTCAAGCCGCTTACCGTGGTCAACGGATCCCGGGTGGGATTCGGCCGGATTGTGAAGGGCAGCAAGATTTGCGAGTGCATCCAGAGCTACGGCACCAAGAACGGCAAGCTCAGTCGGGGTCTGCTCTTCACCAGCTGCGGATTACTGTAGTTGGCCCTGCAGCTGTGGCACCCCGTAAATTGTTAACATGTGTTCGAAATCCGTGATGTCGATGTTGGTCTTTACAAACAGTCAGGTTCGAAATCGCCTTTTAAAAACGATAAACAAAACATACATGGCTTAAATAAATACAAGCATTTTTGGAGATCATACTTTTGGGTTTAACAGTCGGTTTATAGTTCGCCTTTTAAAAACAATATACATGATTTAAACTCATTTACTTTATCAATAATTTTCATCCGATAAAGAAGTTAACTGCACAACCGAATTGTTTCCTAGTGTATAATCAATTTATTTTGTTTAGATTTTTAGGAGCGGTTCAATGGTTACTTAGCAAGTAAATTTTTTTAAGCAGTTATTAAGTTTCCACAAACAGAAACACTTTTGAACAATTCTATTTAAATTATTTGCGTAGATCAAGTGGCTTACAATTTGTTTCTTAATTATGTCAACATTCATTACATGAACGAAAGTTGAATCATGCTGAAATTCATTTAATTTGTGATACGTGAGATGGTAGCTCTCTTCGAAACAACTTTTCCGTTTCCAGTCCGTTTTAGTGCCCAGTGAAGGTCCAATTGGATGTACGCATCCTTGACACCACCCCCTCCTCCTCTCCGTCGCCGCAGAGTGACACTTCTCCGCCTGGCGACAACTGCAAGTGTCTTAAACTCCATTATCCGATGTTCGGTGTCACTCTTCATTTGACTCAATTATAAGCGAGGGCAGGGACAAAAAACACGCAGCAGAAAATAGACTGCGAGGACTTCAGGATAACTGGATGGCGGCATTGCGGAATTCCGGGAAAGATGAAAGGACTGACAGGCAAAGTCACTCGATAACAGGTCGAGTGGGGTAGTAACTAAGCTCCAGTTCGGAGCTTATTAATATTTGCGATTTCTAGTTTCGGCTTATCCATCGCAAGCACTCATCCCACCGACAACGGCATCTCCACCATCCCCTCCCCCCTCGTCCCGAACGTTGGATGTCCTTTGTGAGCGCTCTCCTGCAGCGCTAATTAATTTTTCTGACCAACATCACAGAAAAAGAAGAGCTGAAGGAGGGGGGAGTGGTGCGTTGGGGGGATTTACATTTATTACCCACACCATGGGAGCTGGAAATGACTAACAGACCCCCAAGGTAATGAGCCAGCCACCCAATCAAGGACGAAACGATGGTGTGTGCATGGTCATGCCTTGAGGATGCGGACGCCCTGCGGATATTTTTACTTTATGCGCGGCAAATTAAATAATTTTAATTTTTATTGTTCGTCCGCTCTTGGCAGCCCGCTCTCTGTCTCTCTCTTTTCTGGCGAAGGACCCAGCGGTGGGTCCTAGTCAGGACCGTAGTCCGCGAGTCCAGAGTCCTTTGCTGTTATTGTTGTAGGCCATAATTTGCTGGCTCGTGGCTAAGTTTTTTGGGGCCACAATTCGCTGTCCCCATTTCCCCCGCTTGGCGCCTTTGTTTGTTCTTTTTTTTTTTTTTTTTTGCGCGAAGCGTTTTTCTTATCCCGCTCTGTGTTCTCCGTCTACCTCCGCAGATCCTCCCGCGCCGCCATTAATTTCTGGCTATATGGAAGGACAAATTATCCCAGCTGGCTCCGTGCAAAAACTGCTTTGCGTTTCATCAGGCGGCAATCCGTTGGCGACGCTAACATGGTACAAAAACGACAAGAGGGTGAGTGCAGAGTTTCCCACTTTTTTTTTGCCGCCCTTTGTTTGCATTTTCCGCAGAAAACCCAAACACTCACACTAGCACACACATAGAAACTAAACAAAGAGCGAGCGAGATGGAGCATACTATCAACGGCAGGCTGCAAACATCCGCAAAACAATAATGGCGCTTTTGTTGACCATTTCCGCTTCCGCTTTATGGGCTTAAAGTGCTAATGAGCCACTGCAGCCGTTCGCTTTTGATGCCAGAACGATTTCGGTTTTCACACCTTTTCCACCTACCAATAATCGGGAGCAAAACTATCGCAGCAACTTTGAACAAAAGGTGGTAAATACGGTTGAATGGGGAACGGAAAAAAAAAACGGAAACCGCAGCTCATCAGCCCACACACTTATACGGTAAATGGTGGGTGGTAAGTGGGGTGGTGTTGAGTGGGTGGTGGGCGCACCTGCAGTTTCAGGTGCGGCTTCCTGTTTTACCATTTCCCATTTGTTGCGGTGTCAGAGTTTCCATCTCTGGACCCCGGGGGAGTCATCTCTGCGCCGTGTTTGCTCGCCAGCTCGCTCGCTCAGATTAGACGACGTTTTATCAGCGAAATTAAAATGCATCCGCCAGCTGTGGCTCTTTGGAGCTCTTTTCAACCCCCCACCTCCCCAAACGAAACAAAAAAAAATAAGCAACCTCCCATTCGCTGCAGATAAACTCGGTCATACGGGCCGCGGACAAATCGGTCTCGGCCGAAATCACCGTTCTGGCCAACGTGTCCGACAACCAGGCCCAATACCGCTGCGAGGCCTCCAACAGCGCCACCGAGATCCCGCTCTTCCAGTCCACCACGCTCAGCGTGCACTGTGAGTATACTCCAGATACATGATATATATAATAGGTTATATAGGTCAAGTTGGAAAACCATATACGAATGTTAACATACAACAACAACTATTACTGTAACTCTAAGATGGCTTTTCTATTTTATATACTTTTGCTACACGACTTCTTAAAGTTTTGAAGGATGTTTTAAGAACGTTGAAAAGTATTTGCTATAACATTTAGGTTACAAACTTTTAAACTTATTAGTGAAGAAATAAGCAACAATTTTCTAAATGAGTTTCTGTTGGGAAGTTCACTTTATAAAATATTAGATTCATTAACCCACAGCTCTACATTAATTGTTTATAAAACGCCTCTAGGTACAAGAGAGTTTTTAAAAACTTTGAAGTAGTTTCACCATGGAATATTTTCAATCCAATTATATTTTGAGCTTAGTTTATGGTAATTAAAAAGTTTATTTATATATGTTATCAACAAAGTAATAATCTGTTATATTTAAAGTAAAAAAAGTTAACAAAGTAATAATAATATATACTTTCTAACAATAAACATCAAAAAATTAAATAAAAATAAACCCAAATCAATTGGCTCCCTATAAGGATTTTCTTAAAGGCATTTAATATTTTCCCTAGTGTAGTAGTAGTAGTAAGTAGTGGGTGGGGGTGGGGGTAATCAGCTGCTGGTGCATCCTTTCTTATTATCCACTGGTGTGTGTGCGCTCGCTCTTTCAGTTGCCCCGGAGACGGTCAAAATACGCATTGAACCGGAAGAACTGCGACCTGGCATGGAGGCAGCCATCATCTGCGACTCCAGCTCCAGCAATCCGCCGGCGAAGCTCTCCTGGTGGAAGGACGGCATCCCCATCGAAGGTACGTATGCTACAGCATAGCACAGTATAGTATAGTATGGTATGGTATGGTATGGTGTGGTGTGGTATGGTGTGCCATGGCCTGGCTTGACTCTTTGGGCCTGGCCAAGCGATTTGGCAATTGGAAGCTTGCCCATCGCCATCCGCCATTCGCCGTGGACTCGACGGCGCCGCCAGTGCACTTTGTTGGTGCGAGGCGTTTCCACGACAACATCCGGTTCGCTTGCCAGTCACTAAAATTACGCCCATTTCTTCTCCGCTCTTATTCCCCCTCCCCACCACCGTTGCCATCGCCCAATCCGGAATCTGGAATCTGTATCCCGTGTTCTGTGTTCCATGCTCCGTGTTCCGTATCCCTGTCCGCCCACCGGAACACCCACCGCCCGCTGGTCGCTTTGGCCCACAGGCATTAATAACACGTCCAAGCCCGGACTCTGGGGCGGCACGGTCTCCACGCTGGAGTTCAGGGTAAACATCACACAGGAAATGAACGGCCAGGTCTACACCTGCCAGAGCGCCAACGAGGCTCTCCAGCGGAGCGTCCACGAGGCGGTCAGCCTGGATGTCCTGTGTAAGTACGGCCCGGATAATTGCTCAATTAGACGACATCTGCAATCGGCAGGCGCATCTCCAAGTGATGTCACAGAAATAAAGCCCACTTAAGCTCACTTTGTAATCTTTCGGGTTGCAAATGCATTATTAAATTCCTTGATGACTCAGGTTTCGAAAGGACACATTAAAGAAAAGAATCGGTCCTTTAATAAATAGTCTTCAAATGTTTTTATTTTACCAGCACAAATGATTAAACACATTATAGACAATCTTTCGTAACGCAGCTATATGTATTTCGATTCTGAGCCACCTATGGCAATTTTATTCGCAGTACATTTACAATTAATTTAAAAGCTTTTTATTTTAGTTGAATACGGTAAACTCATTAATAAAAGGAAGAATTTGTTTCAATATTTGAGTGTATGTAATCGCATAATAACTAAAATTATTGCTTTTAGTTATTACTGTGAATTTTAAACATAAAGCTACTTACGACTTTAAAACAACCAATGTTTTGCATTTGAATAGTGAATTTAAATACAGTTTAAATTGAAAATTACAACCTGTATTGCTGAACACAATTTTGTCTAAATTCTGTAAAATTTGTTAGCAATAAGTATGTAAGCAGGTGAAAAGGGATATTTAATATCACGTAAAAGAGATTTCTGTGGCACTTGCATAAATTATTTCTTCGGGAATCTATCCATTTGAAACCTCTTTATCCTTGACCCCCAGATCGACCCAAGTTCGTTCCGCCGCCCTCGTCGACGGCAGTTGGCGCCGAGGGCGAATCGCTGCAGGTGCTGCTCCAAACGCGGGCCAACCCCACCGCGGTGGTCTACAAGTGGACCAAGGACGGGGCCACCATTCCCCAGGACGGCGAGCACCGCATCTTCGCGGACGGCGGCAGCCTGAACTTCACCCGGTTGCATCGGGATGATGCGGGCATCTACTCCTGCAGCGCCTCCAACTCGCAGGGCAAGGCCACCCTCAACATCACCGTGCTGGTGGAATGTGAGTACTCCGCAGCTGTGCGATTCCCCCAATTGGACTAATTTCGGTCGCGCCCCGCAGACGGAACCACCATCAAATCGGTGTCGGAGAACATTGTCGTCAATCCCGGCGAGGACGCCATGCTCTCCTGCACCGTGGAGGGCAAGCCGCTGACCGAGGAGCACGTGAAGTGGGAGCGGGTGGGCTACGACATGACCGTGAAGACATCGACGACCTTTGCGAACGGCACTTCCTACCTGCACATCAAGAATGCCCAGCGCGAGGATGTGGGCAACTTCCGCTGCGTGGCCGACAATCGGGTGGCCAACCCAACCAACCGCGACATCCTGCTAATTGTCAAGTGTAAGTAATTAATGATTATTGCCCAAGATGAAAGATTACACAAATAAATTAGTTCTAGAAAAAGTAAAATTACAATAAGCCTTAATACCGTATAATTAAATATCAACATCATAGTAAGTGAGTGTCATTCGAAACGATGCGATCTAGTTCAAATCTTTTGATATGAAATGCAGTTTTTTATTTGCGTATTACGTGGAACTAAATTCCCTTTCACACAAAACCATATTTCTGTTAGTCCAAAACCAAATGTAGGCAGTGTCATATTCATCATCAAGAATCAAGGACAGAAGAAACGTCGTTAAAGGCATCCGAGTTGTTAACTACATTTGTGTTTGGTTCAATTAATGTCTAAAAAGGTTCCATATGAGGTATATTTATTGTATAGAAAATAGGCTTATATCTATTAAATGTATTATTTATTAATTTCGGGGTTACTTCTTTATACATTTTTTACCAATCTCTAGTTGCTCCTGAGATTGCGAAGGCTCCCACGCTGCTGCGAGCAGCCAGTGGAACCGGAGAACGGGGTCGACTGCCTTGCCGGGCACAGGGATCCCCGAAGCCGAACTTCATCTGGCGGCAGGAGAAGAAGGACCTGCCCATCAACCGCACCTACAAGTACGAGGTGGAGGAGCGCAAGATTGACTCGCTGACCTACGAGTCCACTCTCATCGTGGACAAAGTGGCGCCGGCGGACTACGGGGCGTATGAGTGCGTGGCCCGCAACGATCTCGGCGAGTCGATTGAGACTGTTCGACTGGAAATCACCTCCCAGCCGGATCCGCCCCTCAGCCTCAATATCCTGAACGTCACCCACGACACTGTCACCGTGGCCTGGACTCCGGGTTTCGACGGAGGCCTCAAGGCTTCATATCGCGTCCGCTATAGGTGAGTGTTATTCCCAGATGATGCCTATTCAAATCAGGCACTTAAAACTATTTACGAAAAAAAATGGCCATGGGACACGCGCGTTAAAAAATAATAATAATCAGAGTTTTATTACAATATTAATGATTCACTTTATTTATTTAATCTTTATTAATGTCCGAATATTAAATATGTTGATTACCTTGTTATGATATGTTAAAAAACATGTCAAATTTGTATGATCCATTAATCAATTTTTTGTTTTGGTTAAAAAAGAGTATTAACCATATTTTTGTTTTTGTTTTGGAAGAGAAAAATATATTTCCTCAAGAGCTTTAAAAAATATGTGTGATAACTTTTAATTATTACGCACGCCTTTTTGAAAAGGCTTCTGTTAAAAAAACCAAATTCTTTCTACTGCATCAAAAACCCATTCACTCTTTGTTCATAAAGTTCATACACAAAAGAAATTCCGTTTTGGTACGTTTTATCAAGTATCCTATTGTGATCTACTTAAAACCACTGAAAAGTGGAAAGCTCTTGGCATTTTCCGGTGTGCCACTGTCACGGCTCCTGGCACTAATGAATCCGCACTCCGCTCTCATTTGCAGGATGGCCGACCGCGAGCAGTACAAATACATCGACGGGCTGCCGAACAGCCACAAGCTGACCATCGGCGGGCTGCGGATGAATACGCTCTATCTCTTCTCGGTGATGTCCTGGAACGAGCTGGGCCAGAGCTCCTACCTGCCGGATTTGGCGCGGGCCGAGACCAAAGGTAAGTCCCTCCCCTCCCCTCCCCCAGCGCGGTATTCAAATTGGCCGCGAGTGCCGCTGGTCGAGAAGCAGCGATGCTGACATTGATTTATGCGAGGCCGCCATTTGGCTTTTATGGCCATTCAAGCATGGGTTCGATCGCAGGTCCGGTAACTAACGGCCAGGTGGTGGTGCCAGGGTGCCAAGGGTTCCTGGGTTCCAGGCTGCCAGGCAGCCAGGTCAGTTGTCAGGCAGCCATTCGGCAGATTTGTGGAATTAATTAGCTGGCCAGTATGATAAGCAGCTATCAGCCTAATTAGAAGCACGCACGGCGCTAGTCAGCCGAAATAATTGATGAAGTGAAACTAGTAGAAAAAGTATTCAATTGTAACAAAGGGCCAGATGAATCAGAGAATTCAAATTAGTTCTGATGTAAGCTCACTTAGCAGTAGACATTGGTTAACTAAAAAAACGAAATGGTACCAGAATTTCAAAATAAATAGTAAACAAATCAGTTTACAGAGATTTTTGGTAAATTCGAATATTGAAAAAACATGTCTTTCATCAACAGCGCACAAAATTAATTTCAAATATTTTTTATTTATTAGAATTATTAGTGACATATGATAGCAGACCTAAAAATCAAAGAGTATACATTTTTGTATTTAAAATAATTCACTTACCCATTTAAAGATCATAATTTTGTTTAAAAATATGTATAATATATTAATAATATTGCTTCTAAATATAAATAAATAATATCCATAAATATATAAATATGAGAAACTAGGACAAACCATGGAATATACAGATATCGCCCTTCAAGAGGTTAGAACACCTTTAGGTAGCTACTTTAAAGAACTGAATCCACTGCATCCTGCACCACCACCCACTAACCAATTCAAGCCGAGGCGAGTGTAGATTATGAAGCGTAAGAAATGGCCTGCAACCAGGCAGTCAGTCGGGATCCGATTTGTTGTCTCACCCAATGATCTCGTTCCGACCCTTGCTGCTCTTAATTGGAATTGCATTACGGCCATCAACAACGTCAACGTCAACGACACCGATGACGACGACGATGCGACCACCGCAAATGGCAAACGCCTCCCCACCCACCGCTGCATTTCGTCATCCTGCAGAAGCCCCGCCCCCTTCGCATCCGGCATCCTCGCTGGGAGGCGGACCGCCGACCACCAGCCAGACGCCGCTGGGCGGCACATCGGGCATGCTCCTGGTGGGCGTGGGCGCCGGCGTCGTCGTCGTTCTGCTCAACGTGTTTGTCATCGGCTGCTGTCTGCACAAACGGAACGAGAAGCGCCTCAAGCGAGGTGAGGCACCAGGAGAGGGGGTAGATGGAGGGGGGATCCACCGCGAATCCTGCGGTTGCTGCTGCTGACACTCAGGGAAAAATACCCAGGAATCACTTTTTATATCTTGTGTTTATTTTGAGGGAAGCCTCTTACATTTCTGCCAATCAGAATAGCCTTTTTATGTCATCACCAATTTATGGCCTTCACACATTCAAATCAAATTTTAAATATAGATTTGAAAGGTAAATGATAAGAAGTAAGTGTTCAAAGTCACCTGCAAAGTCAAAAAGGTTGAGGTAATAATATATTTAGTTAAGCTTACAAAGGATTAAGTAAGAATTTAAATGATTCAATGTGTGCTTTATGTTAGGCATTTGAATAATGTTTGCAAAATAAGTAAACATCTTCATTTTATAAGCCTTTTACATGTCTACATAATATATATTTATGTGATGCATTTTATGTTTTTACAACCTTGCAAGCTGTTGATTTTAAATGCTTGAAATACTTATAATTTTCACCTTAATTTTAAACACTGAGACAAATGGTGTTTTTTCAATTGGTAGATGCTCTAACATTATGATCTCAGTGTTCTGGTATTTTTCACTGGAGAGCTGGAGGACTGGAGAGCTGCAGGGCCACACAGCCGGAGTCCATGGGCATTTGAATTTCTAATTCCCTCGGCTCGGTCCGCCGTCGCCTCCGTTATTTTCTTTTAATTTGTGGGCGTTGTCAGCGCACGTGCCCGGTGGTCAGCAATTGTGGATTGGAAGGGAAACGGCAATGGCGATGGCAATGGGAATCGGCATCGGAATAGGAATGGCAGTGGAGCGGGAATGGGAATGGGATTGGGATTGGGAGTGGGAGTGGGAGTGGACAGTTGCGATGGGAATCGCTGTGGAATGGCGATGGCGTCGCTAATTTCATTTGCCATCACATGTTCCGGCTCCGCTTCGCAGGCTCTACGTGATTTGCGTCATTCGCTGGTCGCAAGTCGGTCTCTTTATTTGATTTCGCTGCGTGTGCTCGCCATGGCAACCCAAATCGACCCTCGACCTTAAAGCCGAATCCGTATCCGAATCCCGTGAAACGAGTTCGCCTCGGACACAATTTGAACTGAGAACCGGGCACTGAGAACTGGGATTGGAGAACTGAGAATCTGGGGCAGCGTGTTCATTGCTATGCCCTGCACCATTTCAAATATATATTTTCATTCGTCGCGATATTATTCTTTTTTATTACAATTTCTCATTTCATTTCGCATTTATTTATTGTTTTATTTTGCAACCACGTTTTCTTTTTCTGTTTTTTTTTCTACATTTCCATGGCTCGTTTTGTCAAGGACTTGAACTGATGCCAGCCGAGTTAACCGAGGACTCCAGCAACACACCGAATCTGGTCATAATTGGCATCTCCCTGGCGGCGTTCGGCTTCCTCCTGGTCAACGCGTCGCTGGTTGCCTGGTTCTTTGTGCATCAGCGCCGCAAGAAAGGTTATTATTTATTATTATTTTTATTATTATTACGACTCTTATTCGCGCTGCTCTTATACCTACTATATACTATACCTACTGCATTATTTGCGGGCTTCTGCTGCTTTGCTTTGATTGAGGTTATTTCGGTGCCATTCCGGCACTCCTGGCACTCCGATTGGGGCAAAACAATTGCATCGCTGCCATGTTGCAGTGGCAGTCGACAGCCGGCAGAAGGCAGACGGCAGACGGCACCACTTCCGTGTTCCGTGACACCACCGGATGCGGAAGCGAGCGCGTTGTGGAGCTTCCGCTGCCCACCAAGGACCTCGGAGCGCTGGCTCGCTTTATGAAGCTCACTAAACAATTTCCTGCATACGCAGGCTCCTCCGGATTCCGGAGGACCCACTCCACCCGGATCGGATCACTTGCCCGCCGTGGCTTCTTGTAATTTCCGCTGGCAACCGATGCCGAGCGTGGCCAGAACGAAGCTGGCGAGGCAAGAAGTCTCCGGCTGGAGTATAATGATGACAGAAAATAATGATGCATCCTGGCATCCTGGCACTCTGCTATCCCCGCATTCCGGCACTCGGCAGCCAAGAGCTGCTGCTGTTTATTGAACAAGAGACCCGAACAGCCAGCCAAGACAAATGTGCATCGTTTTCTTAGCTGAATGCACAATCCTCCGGAAATCAGATTGCTTTCACGGCTAAGGAGCGATGCGAGTCCGAGGTTAAGAGGTTGTAGGTCGTAGATTCCAGATTGGAGATTGAAGATTGGAGATTGGAGGTCGGGAAGCACGTGTCGACAAGTGTTGGACATGTTTGCCCTGGACTGATTATTAAAACGAAATTATTTTTCACCACCGAAGTGGAACCAACTTTTTAAATGTAAATACTGAAACATCAGGCCAATGGTTAGCATTTTCCCGACAGCTTTCTTCAACCATCCCATTCGACTGACGACTGACTGGCAAATTTGAGACGTGGCGCACACACGGCGTATACGCAATGTGCCAGCACGAATCGGTATTACGTGCCACCAGTCGACATGCAACACGCAGCACGCAGCACGCAGCCTTCTTGCCGACTAACCAAATTATTTCCATTCAGACGGAGTAAGAGAACTGGGACACAAATGAAGCAGCTTCGCGAACTCACTGAGTCTTTCGAAGGGGGAACAGAAAAGTTAAAGTCTCGAAAATTAAGTAAATTCTTGAGTGCGTTTTCAGTAACACAGCAGTGGGAACTCCCAAACTAGGGTCTTGTTAACATACCAACAAATTAAAATTTAAAAAAAATGTTGAATTCAAATTTATTATCTTCATTTATTCATTGAATACACTTGGAACCAAAAATAAATTTATTCATATGAATATTCTAAAATTGTAAAGCAGAGAAAATTAAATTTCAGATAATTAATTTCAATATGTATAGAGATTACAGTCATAATTTTAAAAACAGTATTAGTATTGCATATGATTAAATAGATATGCAAATAGGGAAGAGAACAGAATTCAATTAACACCTCTACCTTTACCTACAAATATTTAATTCATTTATATTTTTAAAGCAATCACCACTTGAATTCATTTTCAACCTCCACTTTTTTCCGAATTTCCTTTATTTAGTCAGGGTGTTGGCCCCATATGGAGAAGACTTGCTGTCATATTTGCCTTTGTTATATATGTTCTGTCACAGAGTTGGAGTAAACATTTGACTTATGAGTTGATAAACATCTCGGGCGCTTTTAGTGAAAAGTTTTTGATTCATTAAGCGAGCGAAAAAAGGGGGCGAAACTAAACCAAACTGACTTAATCGGGGAACGCAAAATGTGGGCCAGTTATTTTTTGACATTTTCAAACGGGAAGCACGAGTAGCATGAACTACAGCCGCAGGACATAAATAAGAAATTTCCCTAAGAATCCCAGGCCGGGCCAGACTCCATTATTTCTGTCTTTCGCTGGCAGTGCGGCACAGTTGAACAAATGGCGAGTGCCGGGATATGAATGCAGTCGCAGTCGCAGTTGCACAAAAGAAAATTCATATTTCAGTCTTGCTGCAAACAAACACAGCAACCCAAACCCAAACGAAAACGAAAGGCGGAGGAGGCGGCGAATCCTCCTGGAAGGAACAACATTTTTATGACAATGTTCGCAGAGTTCCACCGACCACCCCTCGTCCTGTTTTCCACCGCTCCCTGTCAAAAGCCGATAACTGACAATGCCCAAAAGGATTTTTACTTTTGCCCGTTTTCAGTGCTCACAGTTTTTCCATCCATTTCGCCTTTTTTTTTTTTTTTTTTTCTTGTTCTGTGTGAAGTTGTCAGGGAAACTGGTGCGTTGGCCAGCCGGCGGAGTGGGTGGCTCGGGATTCGGGATTGGAAGTGGGATTGGGATCGAGAGTGGGAATGGAAATGGGAGTGGGAATGGGGATGGGGAGCCCTGTCAGGGGATATCTCTCTGCATATTTCAATGTTTTCGCTGGCGAAACTTGACTTGTGTTTTTGTTGCAGCCCTCGGATATGCATTTTTAATGTGCATTTGTGCCTTTGTGTCAAAATGCCGCATGGCATCCATGGAAATCCATCCCGCCGCTGCTGCCACCCGGCTCCAAATCTCATCTCGACCCATCGAGGAGGAGCTCTCGACCAAAAGCCGAACTCCTCGGCAAACCAAAACCAAAAGCCGGACCGCACTGGAGGCCGCCTAAGAAGCCTTTCGCTGTAGTTTTCGCTGTCCGATAAACTATGCCAAAAGTCTGCGGTTGGCAGCTGGTTCAGTGGTTCAGCTCCGTCGCCGACTGTTGGTCGGTCGGTCGGTTGGTCGGTCCTAAGTCCACTCGTCCACTCGTCCTTCTGTCCTTTCATTCCGTTGCCGGTCATCGACCACAGGCTCCATGAAGAGAGCGAGCGGAGCTCCAGTGACCATCGCACAGCCGCAGCCACAGTCAATGCCCAGTGCCACATATTTCATTCTCGTATGAGCTGGGCCTGAACTGAGCTCAGCCGGAACATCCAGACTAGCGCCCCATCTAATGTTTATTGCCTTTCGCCGGGCCCCCGAAAAATGAAAGGGTTAGAGTGTCTATACACAGGGAATAAAACTTTCGAACAAACAATTATTTATTTGTGAAAACTTCAAAAATAATAAAACCTTTAGGAAAGTTGTTTGTAAGATCAGTAAAGAATGGGGTTAACACTACAGAAAAAGTTTTGTTGACTAAGTCAGCCAATCTATACAGCAAACCTTATATAAATATATAATATTATACCTTGTGTTCTTTTTTTTTATGGCATTTCTTCCGTTTGAAAGTTTACAATTCCCAACCTGTTTTAACGAATAAAGCGTTGGCTTAGGACTTAAAGATAGTCCAATATTAAGTTGGGAGTTCTTTTAGGAAATAGTTTTTTTTAGTCACAGGATAATGAAAGATAAAATAATGTTATTTCAACACTTTCCCACAATTTCTAATTATCTTAAACATTTTCAAAGAATATTTTTTTTTATGCCTTAACAAGTTCTGTTTTTAATTTTGAGAGGAATGTTTTTCTAAGTGCAGAGGCTGGCCCACTTAAAAGGCCAAAGAGGAGTTGCATCAAACAATTGGTCCGGGGCATTCGTGAGTGGTTAACAAAGTTAGTGGCATGGGTTCAGGCCCAGGCCCCGGCCCATATGGCATGGCAATAGATTTCCTTGCAGCAAAAATGAAAAAGTGAAGCGAAAAAATGTGCCAACTTTTGCCAGCGACCAACCAAATGGGAAACAGCGAGCACCCATCAACACGGAGGGTGTATTATCTTCTGGCCAGGAGTGAAAACTTTAGAGGCGCAAAGCGAAATGGTCCGCAACCCGATCTCGGGGATATAGTTGAGTGCGACACTTTTACGACTTGGCGGGGCGAAACTTTTATGCCAACGTTGCCACCAGCGATAAGACCACCCATCCACCCAGGCACCGCCAAACACCCACTAGCTACACCACCTCCAGCACCAGCACCAGCACCGGCACCACTCAATCCCGATGTTCGCCCCACTGGCGAGCACTTGACTTTGACACTCTTTAAACAATTGACGGGAACCCGGGGAAATGCTCAGTGGACACTGGATGGTGGATGGTGGATGGTGGATGGTGGATGGTGGAGTGGGGTTTTCTGGCTTTTTGGCGTGCGTGAGAGGGCTGCGACATCGAATCTGAAGAGATAAGCGCCCGGCTGTCGTGGTCAGGGAAATCGGGAAAATCTGGCGCAATCGAGGGGAGGGAAGGGATGGCAATGGGAGCAGAGGATTTTGGTGGCCAGCTCAGCAATGTCGAAAAGTTTGCTGCTTAGGCAACTGGCCGTGACAGGCCGAAAGCGGATCCATTTTCAGGGGAAGAACGAGCAAAAGTGGGAGTCCAAAACGACGAATGGCGAATGGGAGTTCATAAATTTGCTGGGAGCTAAAACAATGCGGGGAATAGCTCAGAACCAGTCGGCTGCTCCATTCAAATGGCCATGGAGGAGCAGAGGTCACAAAGCGAAAAATCCACTGCTGCATACCGCAAGTCCGGCCAGCGGATAATTGAGAGCTGTTTTTGCCGGGACAGAGGGCTTACCAGAAAAGACCTTGCCAAGCAGACGTCGCGTCATTAACGTGCCCCGCTGACCGCAGAATCTGTCTAAGCCGCGCCCCACTCTATATCCATATAGCCATATTCACTGGACGCACTGGAAGGACATCCGGCCGGCTTTTCCGAGCATAAGTGCAAAATTTGTAATCTCCGTGCCGGCGTGGCGGAGCCGCAAAGTGCAGTGGCAACAAGAAAAACAAAGGCGGCAAATGCGAGTGCGGATTATTTGGCATCTGTGTGGGCGTGGCGCCACCGCATTGTGTCCGCGGTCGCAAGGACGAAGGGCAAGGGGGGGGGTGATAAGCCCGCCCGCTGGATAAAAAATACTCTGCCACGAGGTTACTTATTCTGCCATCCGTCTGTCTGTTTCCCAACCAGAGTTTCTTCCTGTAAATGCTTAGGATTTATAAATAAGAGGCTTGTGAGTCGAAACCAGAAAACAGAACACCAGAATATCAGAAACTAACCCAGGCTTTTACATATGATAAAATATTCATGGTCAACACAACCTAGTCTAGGTGTTTCCAAGAAAAAATTTTAAATGCACAGAGTGAGGAAAATTTGTGGGCATTAATGGTTTGAAAGGAATTCCCAGGAATCTCTATTAAGAACCAAAGATAAACTTGGGGAATGACACAGAAAAGATTAGGAAAATGTTCTTGGAATATACTAGACTAGGCAATAAAGGCAGAATAAAGCATTTTGCATTTATTTTATGTCCTTCAGTTTATAATTCATTAAAGAGCAAACAAAAAATTCAACTGTTACAAGAGCACTTCTTGAACCAATAAACTAAGACTTTTAATTTATTTATTGATTGTCATATAAGACATTCTTTTGATATTAAATACATTATTTTTCAATTTTGAGTATACAAAAATCCAATCATATTCAAGTAAATAAAATTAATATAACTCAATTAGAAATAAAACAAAAAGCTAGTCTAAGCCCAATTCGAACATCATTTTTTTTTCTACTCACTCTAAGCTTTTGTTCGATAAATACATTTATGATGGCTCGGACTTCTGTCCCCAAACAAACACACTCGTATAGGCGGAAAGCGGTCATGTTTTTAATTGCCTTAATTGATTAAAGCCATGTCTATTATTTTAAATGCCCTTCGCCCCCGAACGCCCTTCTGCCTGCCAGTCGTTTGTCCTCATAAATAAAACAACTGACAAATGCCGAAAAATGTTTTTAACTCACTAAGCCATAAAATCAGTGAGCTCTCGCAGGATATATGTATACACACCAGTATGTGTGTGGATATATATAGGGATAGGGGCACTGTCATCGGCAGACGGGGAGCAGATATTTCAGCTTTCAAAACTGCGGCGCATAGTTTAAAGGCATTTTCAATTTTTAATTTTTTCCCTATGAGTGCCCACACAAAAGTGTATAGATTCGGAATTGCGTGTGCATATGTTTAATGAATTAAATGCAACACCGTCGAATGTTAGTCAATCATAAAAAATGCAAATTGAAGCATCGGAATTCGAACAAACAACAGAAATACACACGAAATGGAGACAGAACAAAGCAATTTGCGTTCCAATATTCGCTTGCAATTTGTTAAATATTCATTATACATCGGCAAACATCGAATCCCGCACACAAACGCGTGTAAAGTAATTTTGATAAGTCCCCAACATTCAATGTTGCTTGTGCAAATTAACAGAAAACGGCAATTTTATCGACTAATAGTCCCCGCATGTCACGTAACTGGAGGACGTGCCCTCCTATATGTCCCCATATATCCCCTGGAATATCCTTGGATATGTATTATTAAGAAAGCGTTGGGCCATTATATCTTTGCATAGCTCGGGTACGATGATGATGGCAATGACGGCGATAGCGGCTGAGTGGCAGGGCAATGTCCATTTGCCATTACCCATTTACCTATCGCCATCAGGAGGAACATGGCCCAAATGCTGGCCACATGGAACCACACGTGTCTATGGCTTTTTGCCTTTCTGCTGACACCGCTCAACCAGTAATCGTTATAAATTCTGTGGCAGCCTGGAAAAATCCAATGAAAAACAACAAAAGCTTCAAGTACAGACAAAGAAATGGCCAGTTAAAACAGGAACTCGAACTTAAAGTCATATGCACCTTAACATACTTTTTTTTTTAATTTTATCAACACAAATGAAGAAATCAGTTTCCACAGAAAGTTTTGTACAAGTTATTTCACATTTAAAGCCTTCTCTATAAAAGGCCAAGAAATTAAATATCAAATTATAATATTAATTTAATCATACAAGCACTCAACTCAATCACCACTTTAAAACCCACTTTATTCGTACAGCAGCAGCAGCAGCAGCGAGGGCTCCCTTAAACTTTAATAAAATATTTCCTATAATGTTTAAAATTCTTATACTCTTCCATATACCACCGACTCGCGACTGGAATGTGCTACAATAATGGACTCCACTTTGCGGCGAACACGTGTTAACTTTTGCGGAAAATGTTTCATAAATCAATTAATTGCATTTTTACCTTGGCCCGTTTGTCAACTCATTTGTATTTCCCGATGTGCTTTACTTTGTTCCCGATTCGGCATCGAAATGCACATCAACGAATGCTGCGACAAATGTGAATAATTAACACAATGCCTGCGACCCGTGTAAACAATCCAACCACCCAAAACACACACACCACCAAACCACCCAACCAACCAACCACCCACCTACCAAACCACTCCTGTTTTTGGCACTTTGACAATCTTGGCTATTTGCATTTGATTTGCGTTGCCCGAACCTGCAACTACAACACAATTGGCCACCTCATATCCACCTTCTGCCGCACTGCATCAACGCCCGCAAAAAAAAAAAAATTATAAAAATACGATAAAATAACGTATAAAAAAAACACACACCTGGCACCGCTGCGAATCATCAATTTTCGGGATGTCACTGCCAATTACACCTTTTCAATATTTGTGCGCATACCTGGCCGATGCCGGTGGCGTCGGAATTTTTTGTGTGTGCTAACCGGGAATGTTGGAATACAGTGGCGGAAACTACAAATCAACCGGCGAAAACGGCAACCATCGAGATGTACGCTCCCAGTTCGTATAATGACACCGTAACCGGCGAGACGCTGTCCAGCGTTTCTGAGAAGAGCGAATCCTACTCCAACGAGGGCAGCAGCCAGCCGGAATATATTGTGAGTACCAACCCACCAAACCCACCGATCCTATCCACCTGCGAACCGACTATTTTCGCCTCCCTTCCTTCTTTTTCTTTTTGTTGGTCCAACTTTTTCGGCCATTTCTGTTCTATTTTTTGTCGATGAGCATGAATATGCAATTTGTGAATGGGCAGAAAAAAAGGCGAAGCAGAAGGGCGAGGGAAAAGTGCCAGCAGTGGAAAATCGTCTGGCATCCTAGGCATTTTCCATTGCTAAATAGATGTCCTGCAGGCGCAGGGCCGTCACTTGGCATTTTCACCGGCGCAGCACGGAGCGATTCCCCAAAGTCATTCAATTTAAATATTGCTTTCTTCGCAATGGGTTTTATCAATCGTACCGCCTTTGAATGCACTTTAAGCAGATTTGCCGACTTAAAAGGGAAAATAGTAGAGGAGCTTGTTGGGGAAGATTTAGTGTAGTGGTTCTGCTTTGTTGATCAAAATGGGATAACATAAAGCTAATTTATATTTTCTGTTCATTTTTGGCCTTCAAAAGACTTAACCTTAAAACTTAAACTAACATTTAATTTACCATTGCAATTCAAAATCTTTAAGATTTAGAGGTTTCTCTTAGTAAAATTATAATACATTAAAGATTGTAGGAAGAAAATTCCAGAAAAATCCTTAAAGCCAGAAAATAGCTTCAGGTGGCTTTCAAAGATGAAACAAATATTTCTAGTGCAACAACAAAGCAGTTAATAAGCCACAAAACAAATTTAAGGCATGATAGGGCTTCGAGTCGATTTAAGGGACTCTGAATCTCTGAATAAACCAGAATGTTGAGGGCGGTCAGAATGGGCAATCCCCCTCGCCTGCGGCCCTGGCTTTTCAATTATTGCCAATGCTCGAGAGAGGAGAGCTTCTTAACTGAAAGGCAGGAAGTGCCAGACCAGGCCCAGACCAGGATGAAGCCAAAGAAGAAGAAGAAGAGGTCCAGAGCAGCGGAGCGGAAACGGAAGCGGCATGCCGACGTCGTCGTCGCTAAGACGTCGTGATTAATTACGCGACGCTGATGATGATAATGATGAGCCTGCGAGTGGGCTAAAGCGGAGAATAAAACAGGCACTGAATGTGGCAGGGAATCTGTGGGAAGAGGATGGGAGGGGGCTCCTTCAAACAAATCGTTTCAAATTATTAAAATCATTTATTATCGTCGTAATCTTGGAGCGGCAGGAAAACCGCAGCAACTGCCTAACCCGCAAAGCTGAAGTAAAAGTATGTAAAGTGCGTAAACTGCGACCGCGCGTGTTATAAATCAGCCCCCAATCCGATCCCCGATCCCGGTTGTCCTTGGTCTTTGTCCCCGCTCGTTGTCCTCGCAGTCCTCGTCGCTGTCCTTGGTATCCTGGTTGTCCTGGTTGTCCTCGCTGTCCGTGTGTCGCCGCTGTCATTGTGGCTGTCAATTACGCGCCAACGACTTTCAACGCCTTTGCCAAAGTATGCCGAAAAGCAAAGTGTGGAGTAATTACGGGGCATTACTCAAATGGGAATGAGAGTATAAATTGATATATACCCGGCCGTGTCGCATCTGCCGCCCTTCACTCATCCCCCCACACCCACCCCCACCCCCTTCTCATTCCATTCTTCTTCTTCTTTATCCGCAGGACGAGGCGCGCAAGAAGGCGGCATCCACGTATCTCGTCGAGGGCTCGGATATGCCGCCGCCCAGATACCAGAAGGATGGCACCCTGCCAGTCATATACCCCAATAATATTGGTAAGTTGATATTGCAAAAGACACCTCCTTGACGGCTCTTGAATAATAAGGCAACCGCAGAGGAAACCCTCTTTAAAAATTCAGAAATGCATTGTGTGTAATGTGTGTTGCTGGTAATGAGTGAGTTTTTAGATTTCTAACACCGTTTTATGTGTGCTATCCAGGTTCAAGTTTCAGTTAAAACATATGTGAATTAGGCTTGTGAAATATGTATTTTTAAAAAATAAATTCGGCTCTTTGAATACTACAAGTAAAGGGTCCTCATAGAAATCGGAATTATTACTGATTGGAAAAATGTAATTTGTGTATTGAGTAAATGAGTTTAATATTTGTAAACCAAATATGTAGCCAGCGTCTGATCAATTTCGCTCTCTGTTTCTCGAAATGGCGCCATTTAAAACCGATTTATTTTTCCCAGTACCAAACAAAATCGCCAGAAATACGTTTTAGATAATTAACTTTTGGGCAAAACAAAGTTGGGACTTTGCACGCGCTGTCAGGACGTCAGAGAACCGACCAGACCAGACCCCCTTAACCCCCTCAGCCCCCCCCTTAACCCTGCGATGCCCCAAAATGCCCTCGGTTGCACTCGTTTTGGTTTGATTTTTATGCCATGATTGCAGTGCAATCAAAGCAAATGTTGAAAAAGGGAAACTAAAATCGCAGGAGGACGAGGATGGAAGGATGGGAAGGAGCGGAAAATAAATACACAGAGAGCGAAATCGAAGCTTTTGGGGCGAAAGGAGGGAAGAGAGAGAGAGAGAGAGAAAGAGAGCTGAAAATTCAATTCCAGCACAACATCTCCATCTTAATTGTAATTGAGGAGCAAAGTTTTTGTCAGTCTTGATTTTCAATTGACGTACGTAGGGTTGGATGGATATATGCATGTATATATCCCAAGGCAGAACCCAAATCACGTGCGACCTGCGCTAATTTAAGAAAAAAAAACTCCAGCCCCGAATTGTGGAATTTAAGCAGAGGAGAGATGGAAATGGAAATGGAAGAATAATAATCGGGGAAAAGGACTGAGACTAAAACCCAGACTGGAACCCAGACAAAGAGCAAACTGGCAGTCTATCAAAGCATCGAAGCTGTAGAAACAACAGGAGTTCTACAATAACAGTCCGTCCGCTTGGAACAAAAGCAGAAAATGCATTTTAAATGCAAAAGCCTTGAAATAATAAAAATACATTAGCTTCAGAACTTATCCCTCGAAGGGAAAGTGCCTGGGACTCCGGCATAAAAAATACAATTACCTTGTGGCGAGAAAATTTGGACAGCTCCATCCCTCTTTCTTAATTTCTCTGTCTGCAGGCAACAAATAAATGAGGTTGAGAACTTTCCAATCGTATAGATAAGATAAGTGGTAATTGATAAGGAGAGATGCGCTTGGAAGAGTTTTTAAAATGCAAAGCAATCTCTAAGATACTTAACCATTTTTTATTATTTTTTGTTGGAAATATCCACTGAAAAAAGATGTTAGTCTTTGATAGTTACCAGTTTTGTAAATCATAGTATATTTTTATTTGGAAATGTACATTCTTCTACATATCTTCTCCTTCAATTTGCGACATCAACTTGCTTTAGATCGCAGAGATCCCATTGTTTCCCCCAAACACTTTGTCGCAAGCTTTCCGTAACGTGCTCATCTCCATGATAAACCGAAGACAAGGTCTTGCCGCCCACTTTTCCGCCCAGACCCGCCCCCTTTTCCACCTCGAGGTTTCTGCGGCGACACGCATAATTACGTATGTATGTACATCTCGGGTGTTCGTGAGTACCGCCATTTTCTTTATGCCCGAAACAACAACAAGAGCAGAGCAGAACGAGCTGAAAAGAAAACACGCCGAGGGAGAAGAACAACAGAGACAAAAGGAGCGAAGAAAGCCCGAAAAGAAAGCAAAGAGGGAAGAAAGAACGGGGAGATGGAGGAAGAGCCGGAGAGCCGGAGAGGAAAGTGCAAAAGAATCCCCCACGTGGCACAAAAAATTAAAATGCTTGCCGGAAGCTGAATCTCAAACAAGCGAGCCCAAGGCTGTTGTTCCAAGCGGGTGGAGAGGCGGGATGGAAAAGCGGGTGCACCACCCACTCTTGGTGGAGCAAAGTGCTGCGGGAGGGGCATGCACATGAGTTTAACGGGCGGGGCAAGCGGAAATTGTTTTTGTTAGTTGGCGTCACATTTTTTATCAGAGTTTTTTGCTGAATTCACTTCCAATTTAAAGTGAGTGAGTGATGGGTGGAAGTTAAAAAAAAAAAGGTACCAGATGAAAACCAAAGGGCTTTGCCTTCTGCCTTCTGCCATCCAACAGTTGCAATTTCATTTAACATTTATGCATTTGCTCGGGGAAAGCGGGCGAGTCGCACTTTTAATGAGACACTTTTCACACGTTGCCGTGTTAATGAGCGGGTCAAAAGCAACAAGTCCGTTGCTCTGACCCACTTTTTGACCTTGAACGGGTGCAAAGGCCTCAAGCACCTCGAAAGCCGCTTAAAGCCCCCTTGGTTAAAGTGTATTTCCCGACTATAGCTCATGGTAAGCCACTACTTTTCAGCCAACACCTGAAACACCTGAAACACCTGCAGCACATGGAATTTTGATTGTGGCCCTGCCAAATGTTATTAATATCTGATGAGTTGGGAACGTACTCCTGACCCGGCCAACAATTATGCAGCTGCCAAAGTCCCGAATCGAAACAAAAATACACTTTTCGTTCGACTCTTATTTTCGGCACAACAATGCGGCGCTGATCGAAAAATCAATAATTCACGAGCGGCTGTCTTTTGAGGAAAGACGCCCACATGTGCGGAAGTAAACAAGCCGCAAGATGAACAAGGCCCAAACTCAGGTCTACCACATGGTTTCCTTCGATTTGTCGTTGTCAGGCAGCCGCAGGTTGGCAACTTTGCCCGGGAAATTATTGTTGAGGGGTGCTGAGACCCCCTCTTCCCTCCCCCCTTCCCCCTTTAACCACCTTTCCCCTCGAAATTCAGCGATGTCAGAGTCTATTTTACAAAATTACAAATTTGTTACGTTTGCGGCTTTCACGCCTCGGCAGTTGACAGTCGCTCGCTTTTCACGGAACGTGTTAGTATGTCGGGCCAATTTGTCACGCCGCAAGCAGGTGCCCTTATGGCCAACTGAACAACCGAAGAACCGAGCAACCGAACAACCAAACAACTGAACAACTGAGGACTCCATTGACATTTGCATATTTATTGGACGGGCTTATCAGCAGTCTCACAAGCATCGCAATTAATGGCCATCGTTTTCTTTTACCATCCGAACGTTTGCACACCAAATCGCCCATATCCAAGCAGCAAATTGTTGCATGCTACGAGTCCTTATTTACAGGTGTGTTTCCGTTTTCAACCTCTTTTAAGCTTGGTTAATTTGTCGATTTAATTTGCAGTAATTTAAAGTTGCTTGCAATCGTTTTTATAGTTTTCAAAGTTTACCATTTAGTGATGTCCACGCGGGGGCGCCAAAAACTCAATAAATCAATTTATTTAAAAATGAATTTATTAATTATAAAAAAAAATTTAAGAATACCATGTAATGGTTATACACATAACATATTTATAAATGATATTTTGATTAGATGTTTTTAAGGGTTTTAGATTGACATTAGTTGGGGAACAACAGATTTTCCTTCTTAATTTAATTGGCAAAATGTTCGTCAATGGCTATAAAATATATAGTCTTATAAAAAGGCAATTATTTAACAACATAATGTTTTGCATCAGCAATTTCCAATTTAAAGGAACTGGTTTCTGAGTAATTACCAACAATTTGAGTACAAAAGGCAGGGAACTTTTTTTCTAGAAAACAGTCATCATATTTAATCCAAAATAAACGAAACCGAGCTGTCAGCTCGCATGTACGAGAATGTGCATATTTTCGAACCAAAACCATCCGTTTGCAGTTTAAAAATGAAAATTGAATGCGTTTTGCGATTCTCCATTTGCGGCTGGCCAGGCAAGCGGCGTGCTCCATTTCATGGACGCAATCAAAGCTTAAGCCATACCAGGGGCCATATATATATGTATATATACATAAATGGGGAAAAAATATAGGAAAATAATCAGTAGAGCACAGCACGTACCGCACAGTAAAAAAGAGAGAGGGAATTGGGAATCGGGTATCGGGGTTATTGGTAAGCCATTAAAATCAAGCCAGAGCGGGCTAAAGTCGGCTTTATGGGCCCACAAAAAATAGCACCAATGAATATAAAAGCGGGCCCACTTGACTTGAGCACATATTAACTGGGTGCTGATTTTTAAACTCGACACTTTTTTCTTGCAGTGAACGCGTGTACGCTGCCGCACCCGAGGCACAATAATGGCAGCGCCGCCATTCACATGACCCGGGATGATCAGATGCTAATCAGCAAGGGCGTCTATATTCCGTCCCCGTCGCCGGCGCCGCCTCCAGATGGCTCCTACTACAACATGAACAGCGACAGATACTTGTCCTATCCGCCAATGGTGAGTGTTGCCAGTGAACCTGGGTGTACTTTCTATGAGGGATTGGGGGGATTCCTGGCGGGGATTTGGAAGGGATCCAAGCTTAACGAACGGCAGATGCAGGCTTAATTGCCCGCATCCGCAGCTACCGTTCCCTGTTCCTGCGACGTCCCTCCATTGGCGCCTGGATTATTGCGCTCAATTAACCAAAGTTCCGCGAAGGACACTCTGCATTTTGCATCCAAACGCCGAGCGAGGGGTCCATAAATCTATGTATCGATCCGGTGAAGCCGGAGCATCTTCTCACCCTCCGCTGCCGCTTTCCATTTAACGCGCTTCGACTTTTATAATCCGCAACACTGTAGAGACAAATGACAAACTTAAAAGCATTATAAGTAAGCCCCCGAAGCAGACTGCACTGTCGCAAGCGCTGTTGCACTGCAGAGCAAACATTATTTTCCCCAGACAACAATTTAATATCACGCATACGCCGCGTACGGCAGATGGCAGCGTGGCTTTTACGACGGACCGAGAAGGAAGCAACGCCCACAGATGCGACAAAGTTTTTCGGGCCCGCGTCACTCATAAAGTGGGGCGCCGGGGGCCAAGTTGTGTCCCCGAAACGGCAGCTCCACCTCCAAGTAGATGGGGAGCAGCCAGTCAAGGACACTCGATGTCCGTTCCATTCCGAGGCGGATGCCACACACTCGGCGCTTGTCGCATTGCCTGCCAATATAAATTCCGCAAATTTCACAATAAACATGGGGAAATCAATTTTCGAAATTTATGTTTCCGTGGCTCCTTTTCGTGGAGCGAAGAGGAGGTGGAGCAGAAGGACTCCTCCTGGTGGTAAAAGGGGTGCCAAGTGGCAATGCGACAGCGTAAGACGACATCCGATGCGGGATGACAGTCAGCCCGTTTATGTGTCATCTCAACTTGGCTGACGCCCGATAATTGTATAAATTAGATGGAGGGGAAACTGCGAAACTGCAACGGCAGCAACACCACCACCAGCACCACCAGGACCACCACAACCAGGATGGCAGTAATATCCTTGGGATATTGGCCACCGCCAGCTGGCTGCACAGCTAATATAATAATATTTATGCTCAGCAGTTGACCAGGCTCATGGGCTTTATGCGATTTGTTAAGTTATTCAATTGTGTCCCGATTCCCACGGAGAGAGTACACAGTTAAATGATGTGGTCGACGGTCGACGGTCGACGGTCGGTGGGTTGATATCAAGTGTCCTCTGACCGGTTTTCCCAGTTTTCCCAGTGCTCCGTCATCGTTCTTTGCCATCGCCCAACATGGGACTAAACCTTTTGTTTGCGGTTTTTAGTCAACGAGGGAGAAAAATTCAATTTCGGTTTAGTTGGTCAACAATGACATCCCATATGTATGGGTATACGAACATATACACACACACACACACACATTCACACACTTAGCCACTCCAGTTGTGGCCACTCCTTCCGCTTTGGGCGCCGGGGCCTTTGCCGTCTCACATAAGAAATGTTTTGTGTGGAAGCCAAATTGAATTATTTGATAAACATCATTAGAAAAATTACAAAATCTACAGGGCAGAGCAGGGCAGAGCAGTCAGTCCCTTCGCTGTGGCTTCCCCAAAACATTCGGCCAGCTCTAAATTACTTTTCGAAGAGCATCTGTCTCCAGCTCCGTTTCAGTTTCAGCTTCAGACGGCTTCAGTCAGCGCCACGTATCCGAGCGGACAGTAAATGAATAAGGACAATTTATAACAGTAAATCAAATTAAATTTCAATTGGAAAACTTCAGCAAAAAAAAAAAACGAAAAAATATATAGGAAAACAGAGGGAAAACAGTGAGCACACAGAGCGAAATAAAACAAAACAAAATGGCCATCTAACAAAGTTAGAGCGTCGTTTTGCACATTAGTCCCCGAGGAGGGAACGCGGAAAGGCCCAGCTGTCCATTGGAATTCCTCCGTCCGGGCAACTGTAATTGCCCATCACAACCGAATCTGGCCATGGATGCGGATGCGGATTCGGATTCAATTCGATTCGAGTTTATCACAAAGCGTTGAAAAGTGATTGAGCAGCTTCTTAATCAATTTATGTCTTGCCATCGTGCAGTTGTCATTTATGAGAGCGAACGAACGAGCATCCGCTTTTGATTTGCTTCCGCAACTGCGTTTCACTCTGTTCATTTGATAGTCTTGTTGGTCAAGATGAGATCCAGGTTGTTAAAGCCGAATATGTTGACCTTACACTTGTATTTAAGCTTTTCGTCAAATAGCTGTACTAAAAACACAATGTTTGAGGGCATTCACTAGGTACTGCAATTGGCTGTCTAAACACAAACAGTTTATTCAAAGGTGAAGCCTTCAATCAACAGAAATCTTCTAAAGTTGTTTATAGTTAAGTCTTTGCCAAACCAATAAATGTATCGGTTTGATTTGCCAAAATATAATTACTGAATTTATTCTTCTTAAACAAATATACAAACTAGTATGTTCAACCACAAGCTTTATAAAATCAGACAGAAATGTTGTTTTCGATTTCTCTAATATTTTAATGTGGTAAAGCTTATTTTTCCACTTTCAAAAAAAGTTTAACATGGATAATGTTTTATGAATATTTCAATATATTTATTTAGCTTGAATTGGCACCACTTTTTGAATAGTGTTGTGGTTTCTTTAAACTTAATAAAACATTTTTAAATTTCGTTTTAAAGCTTCAACTTTTTTTTGTAGAAAAGCCTCTTTACCTTTTTTTTACAATTTTTTTTTTTCAAACTAGATAATGCTAGTTAAACCTTAAAATGGTATTTTCGCCTACATTGATACAATTTTTTCTTTGACTGCCCAATAAACCTATAAAATCGATTCTCCGATCAACGGTAATTATTTAGTTGAAAGCCAACTGCTGCCAGCGAATTGGTTCAGCCTTCCGCAGCAACAGGATGTCCAGGGTCAGTTCCTTCAAGGACTGCGGCTCCTTTCCTTTCGCCTTTGGCCGCTCCCGCTCCCGTTACCGCCGCCGCTCTCTTAGCCGTGTCCACATCCGTTCATTGGCACGCAAAGTGGCCCGAAGTAAATGCAATTTAAAACAAGTTGTGGCCACACCCAGGCAAAACCAGAACGAGAATGGCAGCCCACCCACTCATCCATCCGTTGCGGTGTTTTTGTCCAACCAGCTTGTAACTATTTAAGCGGCAATTTGTATTTTATTGCCAACTTTGGTTGGCTTCCAAGGCGTAAGCGAGAGAGAGAGAGAGGGAAAGAGCACCCACACACTCAAACACACCCATGACAGCCCCGAAATGCTCGAGTTTCATTTGGCTGGCGTTGATAAGTTAAATGCTGACTGCCGGACGCAGTTGGAATCCCTATGTGGACCATGTGGACCACGTGGACGTGCATGTGTGAGCGGCCGGCATGATGGAGCAGCCGGAGGGCAGGGACTTGACTCCGGCCGGACAACTTAACTACGGTTCACTTTGTTAACTTGAGTTCTGCACAGTTTTAAATTCAATTAGTTTTCGTGCGGGCGAACTCTGCTTCTCTGCTTCTGGTTCTGGTTCTGGCCATTGTCCGACTGTCAGCTACAAAGGAGCGGGATCTGTAGCTGTATCTATAAAGGGAAGAAGGAAGAAGGGGGAATGTATCCATCAGATACTTTACGCACTGGAACGCTGCGGCTGTCATCAAAGCGAGAAGCACGACTGTTTTGTTTTAAAATTCATGGGGCGGGTTCTGCGAGCGCGCAGCTGAAGCCGATTAAATAAATAAGGGGATCCACTCCGAGTGGGCCATAATTTAATTTTAGCTTCCGCCGCCCGCTCCGCGATTCGTCGTCGGATTCATAGACTCGGTTGGCCCCGCTGGCGCCGCTCGGTTGGCCTTAATGTGCAAAGTTTCTTTTTTATGGCCAGTGTGGAGATGCCAATTGGTTATTCTATTTACCCGGAATGAAGTTTCAACTCCGCCAGTAACAACAATAATGAGCTGCGGCCGAGAATTAGCGAGTGCGGCACACAAAAGCCTTTAAGTGGCCAAAGTTTGCAGGCGGGAACCCTTTACGCGGCCAAAACTTGACACTCTGGCCCAAACTGAGCGCCTCCCCCTCCCCCCAAAATCGCCATGGCTTAGCCAACTTTCCGTTAGAGACAATTTAACTTTGTAAACTGATACAAAATGCCCGCCCTGGTCTACTTAATACCACTTCCCGGTCCAAATCCCCGCCACAACCTTGTTAATCAGTGTTGAGAGTTGAGTGTTGAGTGTTCAGTGTTGAATGTTGAGTGTTCAGTGTTCAGTGTTGTTTCCCTAATGTGTCGCCCGATGTCCTTGGGCCATGTTAATCCCCGAGAGTTTTCAATTCCGCAATCGTAGGTACTCGATTCCCCTTAATATTCCAATTAGGTGCCCGGGCCAAGTTTGCGACTCGAAAGTTGTACGTGCTGCAAACTTGGACTCGGACTTGGACTTGGACTCGGACTTCTGGATGCGGAACAGCTCCTCAACTGGCGCAAAGTGTCATGTCAATTGAACTAGGAATCCACTCGCTGACTGTTTGCTCCTTTCCGTTCGTTGTCCAGTTGCCAACTTGTCGGCAAGTTGTATTGTATTGTAAACGGACCGAAGGCAGAAGGCGCTGTCATAATTACGGCATCGTTAGTGCCAATCTTCGCTTTAATGCCGTCTGTTCGCAAAAAAAAAAAAAAAAAGGAAAGTAGCCAAAGGATTCGCGGCGCGGAAAGAGTCCAGGGTATTTGAGCCTCGGCTTAGAGCGACTTTTGTTTGCGCTCCTCATTGTTTCATATCTCGGGCGACAGTTTAATGGGAAAACTTTTGCCGCTGAGCCAACGGAGAGCAGTTCAGCAGTTTGCTCCCACCAAATAGCTGCGACGAAGCCGCTTAGCTAAGCCTACGCCCACTTAATCCACACTGCAAAAACAAAAGTCCACCTAAAACCAAGAGATATTTCCACAGACTGTCAAAGCATTGAGGAATTCAAAGAAAAAAAAACCTTTTTATAATTATTAATTCTTGATTTTCCCTAAACTTAAAATTTAATATTTAAAAAAAAAAATTTTATTATATTATTAAAGATAATAGTTCTTGGTTGTGCTTAGAGTGCTTTAATGATTTTAAAAATGTCTTCATTTAATTTAAAGAGTGTTTTTTTTTTTAATATGAGAAAGTTTACTCTCCTTGACAAAACTTAAATACTTTATTCTCGGATTGGTGACTGAATTAATAAGGATAACAAAAAAGAAACTTAAGTGCACTTCTACCACAAAACTTGGAGACTTATTTAACTTTTAAAATCTTTATATTCTAACCAGCAACCCCAAAAAAAACTTTCAAAAAGAAACTGCAGCAGAAATTTCAAAAATGAGTTCTTAAGTTTTCCAAGTTATTATAAAATTTATTAAGTGGCTTGGATAAAAACAAATTTTATAAAAGATGTATATGCATATACTCGGATGATAACTAATGCTTACACTACTTTTATCTTTTCCATTACATTTTAGGAATACCCAGCTGCTATGGACTTCACGGCCCAACCAATGCCGCTGGCGCACCTGCAACCGATCGCGGTGACCTCGCTGGCCACCAACGGCGGCGCCACGCTGATCGGCAACGGATCGGTGGCGGCGGTGGCCGGTGGCTCGGGCACCCTGCGGCGGGGCATCCTGCGCGGAGTGGTGGGCGTGCCGCAGCCAGATGTGACCCACCATACGTCGGGAGTGGGCGGGAGTCCGCTGCAGATGCTGCACGACCTGCACCCGGTGAATTTGAGTGCCTCGACGCTCACCACCAGCACCACCCTGAATGGCAGCCTGCCGACGACCACCGCCACGCTGCCCCGCCAGCCGCACGGCATCCTTAAGGATCCCAACCGCAACAAGCAGCAGCAGCAGCAGCAGCAGCAAATCCAGCAGCAGCAACAGCTGCTAAATGCCAGCCTGGTGGGCGTTCCCGTTTCCGCGGGAATGGGGAGCCTGCAGATCCTGAACCTGCCGCCGGCGAACGGCGGACTGGGCAACAACCTGCTGATGACCACCAGCGGCGCCTTCGATCCCACGGCGGTGGGCATGAGCAGCTTCGCCGGTGGCATCAGCCAAGCGGGCGGCATCCCGGTGGCCTACACGGATGCGGACGGGCATCTCGTATAGCTGTAGGCGGGAACTGGGGCCATCGGCGGCTGCAGCGGCAGCAGCACCACCACCAGCTGCAGCACCACCGTGCGGATCATCTCCGGCAGCGAGCCCCGGTTCTGAGAAGCCATCATCGGAAGCGTCATCTTGTGATGACCCCAGCGTAATCTCCAGCGTACTCTGTAATCTGTATCTGTATCCAAAAACCTACTCGCAAGGATGTAGCTAGTTTAGGAGCTTTCTCTTCGGCAAGCGGGTCCCTTTGGATTCCCCTGTCCAGCAGCCACAGCAGCTTCCTCATCCACTTGCCATTACCTTATTCAAATCAGCCAGCGAATTAGTTTATGCAAATTTCCACCCAATTCCTACGACTGCCCCGCTCAATGTGGGTGTTTATTTAGATAAGGACTCGGTGGGTCGGTGGGTGGGAATGGTGGGATTGGTGGGTGGAACCCACCGGGGGAGTGAGCATAATTTCGCAGAGAGTTTTACTAATTAGCCGGCAGCAGGAGCAGGAGCAGCAGGAAGCGGGCGAAAATAATTTGAAATTTCCTCGGACTCGAACGCGAATAGCGAAACGCTCCAGAGCCTTTGACAGCTCCCAGGGGCGTGCTTCGGATTCGGATTCGGCTCAGGACCAGGCTGAGGCTCCTGCTCCTTCTCCTTCTCTAGCTGGCTCTGGCTCCTTCTGAAGTCGACTGGGCACGTGATTGCCCTGGACGGCGCCGGCGGCCACGGTCGTCGAAAGTTGAAGGTTGACAGCCGCCAACTGCTCAGCCACCTCCAACCCCAAAAGCAAACCAGATCTGGGTGCTAGATTTGCCACCTCCCTTTTAATGGGGCAGCTGGAAAATCTGGGAATGGGTCTGGGTCCCGTAGAAAACACAGTGGAGCTCACTTAACTCAAACCACTCAACACTTGGGCTTTCAAGTCAATTTAAGAGCAAAACAATTACACTTGTGGTGCTTCATTTTACATTTTCAAATTTAATTGTTCGCTTTTTTAAACAAAATTAAATTACATCTTTTAAAGTTATTCTAAAACCATGATTTAAAATGTTGAAAATGACTGAGACTATTTAAAATCCCTGTTTAAACATTTTCAAACAAAGAGTTGTTTCAAGAACTGATAAATGTATTTGGATTTGTAATTATCGAGTTGAAACTTTTTATTTCACAAAGTATACTTGTTAGCCTTTATTACCACACAAGTTTGTCTGGGTAAACAGAAGAGCAGTTTCAGCTAGGAGGACTCCTCTGAAGTCAAACAGGATTAAAAGAACGTCACTGCTAGTTAAGGAGCCCAACTTAAAGACTTGAAAAGAAAAGCTATAGAATCCGTGTTTTATGGAAACTTCACTTATATTCTTGGGAATTTCCATGGCTGAAAATCAAGGCTGCCCGAGGATTACGCCGAGGAATTCAAGTTCCCAGCTTCTCGAGTTGTTCGACTCAATCTCCCCGATGGAAATGCGCATATCGCAGATATGGCGAGGAGGCGGCCACGCCCACGCAGCCATTATATGCAGAAGCTGAAGCTGACTGTATCTTCAGCCATCCAACTGTCATTCGAGTGGCGCTGCCGCACATAAACAGTTTTCATTTGCCCCTCGTCGCAGCTCAGCGAGCGTGACATGCCAATCCTGGCCTGGGTTGCCATTAGCTCCTCCACTTCGAGACCAGGAGAGTCCCGCTATCCCAAGGACCTCTCATCTCTGTTCCGCCTCCTCCTGCCAAGAATTCACATTCGCATCTTTGACTTTGTAGGCAAGTTCTTGAGATCCTCCGTGCATAATTGCCAGCAGCAGCATTGTGTGGATTTTAATATTCATTTGGCTGTAATTGCCGGAGCCGGAATCCAAGGTCGGAATCGGGGGAAGTGCACCACTGCAGCCACGAGTCCTCACTGGATTATCGCAAATGAATAAATGCCCTGATTTCGGGCATAGATGGAGGCGGATTGGCTGGGCGCAGCACAAACACAGAGTGTGTAATTAAAAGTGAAATTATCTTTGAGATTAACGCACGCGTAGACAAAGACAAAGGCGATGGAAAAGAGGCGGGGAAAATGGGGGAAAAGCGGGGAAGGAGTCGGGGGAAAATGAAGAAAAATACGCGGAATGAAATTAAGAACGAAGATGAGGCGACTTTGTGTGTATGTACACATGGGTGTACTTTTCCACTGCGGATTTTCCGCAATTGAATAATTGCGATGGCCGAGTCCAGATAAATGTTAAATGAGCGGGAAAATAGGGAAACCCATACGGAGATACCTGTTGGGTTTTCTCCCATGGAAAAGTGGCAAGGACAGGGGCTGCGGGGACCCACTCTATACCAGATATGTGAATGTATAGCTTGTACTCAACTCTACGAGTAGTGCTGCCAAATTGCATTAATAATTAGACTTTAACTGGAAACGTAGCCCTAAGTAGCTAAGCCAAACAATTTCGAACCACTACTCAATCAGCAAGCCAAACCTTTCAAATTGTACAATACCACAGGGCAGAAGCCGAAAAGCAAACGATTACCGAATAGCGATAAATAATTAACGACTAACGATTAACGATTAAAAGGACAAATGCAGGTATATCGATACATACGGAGAGTCATTGCAATTCATAGGTGTAAACGTAGCATACTATTTCGCATCTCGTAACTCTTAGATCCCAGACCCCAAAACAAACCCTCTAAAAGTTTGGAGCTTGGCAGGGAATTCCCGACGAAAAACACACACATAGGAATAACCAACTCGCTGTCTTCTTAGGGATAACTACATATTTGATTGCACTCGAACCTATTACTCCGCAAAGGATCTATCCTGGTGTCCTCAACTCGCAGCCATCTCACAAATCTTGTATGTCTTCCCCAGCTTGTCCTGACGATTGTTGATTGCCCCTGATTTGATCCACAAATACGTATTTATAGTTACACATACATATTAGTTTAAACTCGAAACTAACACACTTGTCGGGGGAATAAATAAGACTTACTGTAGATAATTATGTTTAAAACAATTAACAAACACGAAATCAAGTTGTTCAATTTGTATTTTTGCCAAAGAGATATTTGTTAAACAAAGAAGGATTACTAGCAGCTGGATTTTGTGTGTGCTTGTTTCACTCTCGCTGTGTTTGATTGTTGTACGATTGAATTAGAGTCCCTACTTATATGATTTCGGAAATCCTCCCATTCGACGTTAACGTAGCATAATTGAAGCAGCAGCTGAAGGCGATGACACACAAGACTTGAATACCGAACCTAGGTTAATGTTAAATGTTAATGCAAATCGAAAAGGAAACTTAATGCAACTAAGTGTGCGTGTGTACAAAGAGGATTATTTAGCAATGGATGTGAATGTTTTTACCACACATTGGGTTATGTATTTTATGTAGTCTGTATGCGTATATCTATAACTACAATTAACTGAAAGCATTGTACAGTAGTCGAGAGGGAAAAACAATAATTAACAAGGCGTAAGTTCATTCGAAGAAAGAAAGAAAATAAAGTAACGCATTCATAAACACAAAGCATAAGTCGCCACTCAGAAAACTGTATAAAACAAAAAACCAACAAAACAATTCTTAAAAAAAAAAAGAAATTATTGAAAAACTATGAAAATTAATGCATATGAAACCTACTGCATTTTTAAAAAAGATCTGTTAACAAATGAATAATAAAAGCATAAAAAGGATGAATACCAAAACCGAAATGCATTTCCATTGCCGAACAAAGGGCCAACCGATTACGGCACAAAGGACAATTTAATGGCAAAACTTTCGAATCAATTTTCAGCGGCAGGACTCAAACAAAGGACGATGGCTTTCCAGCCGAAGAACAGCCGGGAAGAGACACTTTTCCCGGCGAGCCAAAGTTTTCCGAGGCCAGGACGACTATCCGTCTTGCCGGGTGTGGTGCAAAAAATTGAATTCCTTGTAAAACTTACGAGCTGGCATTAATTTTAACAGCATCTCGGTGGGTGGCTGTCGGTGGGCGGTGGGCGGTGGGCAGCGGGCGGTGGGGTAGTTGAGTCCTGGATGACTCAAATTACGTATACGGCCCATTGAACGCTTCGCCGGGCACGGACATGTGTGCGTACACTCCGGCTCGGTCCGGGCTGGGCCATTATTCTCCCCTGACTGACTTTATGACGCTCATTCGATGGGCACAAATCGCAGCTCGTTTTTCATTTAAATGGAAGTTAATTAGTTCCGCCAAAAAACAAAGCGACGGTATATCCATCCGCACAGCGAGGAAAAACAATGCGAGCGGCGCAAATAAAGGGCAAATAAAATTTCGCCCAGAAGTGGGCGTGGCCAAAAGCATTCCTTGCTGCAATTGATTGATTTATTCCCGTTCCCAGTCCACAATACTCGTACTTCCTCCACCAGCCCTCCCAATGCTCCTCTACTTTCTTTCTTTGGCTTCGACATCCACTTCGGCTTCATCAGTTGTTGCCGCAAATTGATTCAACAAACGGCAAACAAGTGAAGCCTGGCCATGATGCGCCTTCAATTAATAGCCGGATGGGGCAAGTAAGTTAGGGCGGAGCTGCCAGGACACGAAACTTTCTCGCACCGTAACTCGGCAACTGTCAGCCGGCGGAATACTCGATTTTCCCTAACGAGCCGGAGGTAAAGGATGGTTCTAAAATAATGAAAGAATTCCCTGAATAAAGCTGCCCAACGAATATCTCCGCAGAGGAGAGCTGAAGGTTAAACTTTAATTCGAATTCGAATCGCAAACTGTCCGCGACGCACAAAAGATATGTCTGTTTATTGTTATCATGAGAAATAGCCAATTCCCAAAAAAGGATAGAAATTATAATCTTCTCTAATACCCTGACATATTAAAATTTTTATTACTTTTCGGTATAGTTAATTGAAATAATAAAAGGCAACGTAATTAGTTGATTGCTGTTACATGCAACCTTTGGCTCCTTTACCAAAAAAAATCCCTAAGTTTCTACAATTTTTCAAAAAAGCATTTGTTGATTTTAGTTTGTTACGCAATGTTAATGGCATAACTCTGTTTTTTGAGTTTTTCCTGCCCAGATTTATTTTTATAAACTTTTGTTTTAGAAGTAACCATAATTAAAATTACTGCGAACTAAAAAAAAAGGCAAATTATTCTTAAGTAAGGAATTTCTGAAGGGAGGGTATTCCAGCTCCAATTTCGCAGTCAGATCTCTTCTGCTGGCCATTTTCATTGTAATGCAGGTGACAAAGCCGCCCCGCATCCCGTCCTTCTATTTGGGCCACGTTTTTTTTTTGTCTACCGTTTTTGGAGCCGTCAAAAGGAACAAACCTCAGTGGCGACAGCGTGGAAATGCACGTCACAAGTACTCGCACAGTTCATCTGGCCGAGTAAATGGAAAAGTTTTGTTTGGTAAACTTTTTGGGCTGAAAAGAAAGCGCCGAGGCGGGCCGAGTGCTGCAAGTGCGGAGTTGGGACCGAGGTACAAAGTCACTAAGGAAACAATGACGGCCGAAAAGTTTCTCGTTGGCATAATCATTGTCATGGCCATTGACGCAAGGATTTGCAAATTATCAGGGACGAAACTTGACCGGGTCCCGTGTGCAACACGAGCCTCTCCAACGGAGGCGACTGTGAAATTCCATCATTAAATTTGGTATTTTCCACAAGCGGAAATGGGAAATGGGGAGTGGAAAATGGGAAATGGGAAAAGGGAAATGGGAAATAGGGAACCGACGGGGACAGCTGTCGGGACCGCAATAACGGCCATAGATAGCAATTATGCCTTTGGCGAAATTGCTGGCTGACAATCAAAGGGGCCGCACGCATAAACAAGCCGGGCTCGTAGCCACCGCAATGCCTTTTCCTCGGGAACCGCAGACCCTCCCCGGTAATGAATTGTGGCCAACCGACCCAAAACACAAACGGATACAGAACGAGCCGATTATAAGTTTGCCCACTCCTTCTTTTCCGCCTGCCTGCACAATCTTGTGGATCCTTGTGGATCTCGGCCGAGAGGTCCTGGCACGCATATGCAACATTCCGGAGGCAAGAACATCCCTTTTGCTGCAGCGACACCGAGTTCAGGCGGGCAGAATAACCGATTTCTTTGTCGGCACTCATTGCTTTGAGCAAAATTCATTTCGAAGCAATGAAGTTTATCGCCGCCCTGCAGCCCCACAATGCAGCCTCCCTCACACTTGGCTAATTTGTGCGGCAAAATAATGCCCATATTAACTGGCTGCTCTTACACAGAAAAAAATATAAGCAACATTTACTACCCATTTGGTACTCGCGGGTTTGCTACTTTAATTGTAACTAAATAAATAAAATAATGCACATAAATGCATTCCACATTTTGAGAGCAAATACATGTTTTTAAAACAAACTGGTTAAAGTTGTTACAAGTTTAATTAAATACAATAAACTTTTAACAAGGTAGTTTGTTTTAGTACCAGTGATAATGTGCGAAAACTAAAAACACTCCATTTTATGTATGCGGTTTTATCACATTAAATTTTCGTCCTTTGTTCTCCGGGCACGGACATATCGCTGTTTATTAAACAAACATTTTTCATAACTTCCATAAAATGTATCTCAATAAATTTGCCCTAATAAAGTATGACCCGGGGCCCAAAAATGTCAATTCACATTATAATGTTGATTTAGGGCGTTATGGCCTGTTCAAGTTTAATTCAAACTTAATTAGCTTCCATTCATTTAATATTTTTAATGCGCGTTCAACTAAACCATTTTAATTTCAATTAAAATAGAGGGTCAAACATCTGAAAAATCTATTTTATTGAAAAGCTGAACAAATTTACTGTAGAATTTAAATATTTCGCAACATTTTAATGGTTTTAATTTGGCCAACAATGTGTCACTGTCGGCTATTAAAAGCCTATGATTTCGTGTTCCTGTGTACTGCCTGATTGTTCTGCAGTCAGCTCACTCGTAAGGGGAATCGCAATGAAATGGGCAATAATTCAAATTACGCATACGCCACATGGTACGGATGGGAAAGCCCTCGACACCGCCACCCTTCCGTTGCAATTCATCCTTTGGCCCATTCACAAATCGTCTAAATAGAAACTATCTCAAGTTGTTCCGCCTGAACGCATCGCATCCAAGCCAATGGCGCTGAGTCAGTTAGCACGAAAGATCCCAATGAAAAGCGCCAACGAATGCGACTGCAAAATATGATTTCATTCATTAAAAACCTGACAAGTTCAAGTTGAATGACTAGATATATTTGGCCGACTGTCGGTGGCCACAAATGATATATTTTTATCCCGCCTATTACAGCATCATTATGAACGAGCGGCCCGGCTTCTTGGCAGCCACTCAAAAAGTCAACAAATAAAATGCATGCCGACGTACAAGCGTTGGCAATTATACAAAAATATATCGCAAACCTTTTAAAATTCGCGCACGGAATGTTTTTATTTGTTTTTCCCCGTATGCCCCAGACTCATGTTCTCGGCACTTCACCGAACCAAATTGCCAAACAGCTGATTTAAATAGCCAGGCCAAGAGAACAGCAATCAGAGCGAGAAGGAAAAGGATGTCGACAAAACAAGCAACAAGCGGCGAAGCGAAAAATGTAGGCGAACACGGCAAGCCGGCGAGAAATCGCCTCGGGCAAGAATCGCCGCACAGTGTCCCAAAACACACAAATAGAATTCTGTTCCACGACAAAAAAGTCTACACAAAGAACGGCTTCCAAATCCACTAAAGTATGCTATCAATTTGTTTACTAATAACAAGTAAGTTTTAGTTTTACTAAAAATGTTTTAGTAAAATTTGTACGACTTTTCAAATAAAACATAAATTTTCATAAAGCAAGATATACATAAATGATAATCTTCGATAGTATTAGAAAAATTATCTAGCTATAAAAAAGTTCTACTCAAATTTTCAAGCGCCGTAAATAGCTCATTCTTAATTCGTTGCCCCTCAGAAACACATTCGTATTTCTGCCCCCGAAATGAAATCGATTTTCCTCACTTTTCCGACCCACTGTGCCGGCTGCTGCGAAATGCGTGCCGCAGTGCTTTTTGTGCTCGCCGAGCGTCAATTCTCGCTGCTCGCCGCCCATTTCAGAGCGCCCAGCGCACATCGCTCATCATTCTGCACCCGTAGTCGCCGCCGACGGGCTCGTCGTCAGTCTAGAGAGTAATATCGACACGAAAAGTAAGTTCGCCGTGCTTCTGCTGGCCCACCAGCATCGAGTATAGAATCTATATGTGCGCCTGGCCTGTGAAACGGGTGGAAAACGTGGAAAATCCATCGCAAAGTCCGCATTTCCACGCGCCCTAACCATCGAGCACGTGGCGAAGTTTGGCTCCAGGGCAAAAATCGCAGTGTGTGCTCGTTGCATAAGATTTGCAATTATAATTCCGACGATTCGAATAAGTAAAATATGAAAATTTGATGAAAAATTCGGAAAGTGCTCTAGTTTTGTGCGCTGCCCAGGCCTTTGCGTGTGATATTTTTGGACATGTGTGCGCCTTCGGCAGTCGCTCCGCGTCTTCGGCTTGTCTTCGGGTCGTCTTCGTGCCGCGGTGGAGACCAAAAATAAACACACGGCACCGCTGAAAGCCAACGAATTGTTGGGGGGCTTTCAAAATCTAAGATCTTCCGTTCGGTTTTGGGAAAAAGAAGAAAATCACCTACCTAATGAACAATCCCCTGTGGTGTGCCGGGTGTGCTACTTATACTACACATTCGAGTATGTGTGTGCGTTTTTGTGCGGGTGCTGCCGGCACAAAAAAAAATACAAAATACTAAAATGGCGAAAGGCGAAGGGAGAATAATGGGATTGCGTGC